TAACTATTTCGTCTTCTCTGCCCTCGAATCACGATAGGAGTTCTCGACGATGTCCAATCCCGTCATCTTCTTGAGCGTTGAGTCGAGCATCCCCACCGGCAGGAAGGACGACAGCCACATTTGGAACGCATTTCCTCCGCGCCATACATGCACGGGAGGACTTTTCTTGGACAAATCTTGAACGACTTTCGCGGCCCACTCATCCGCTGGCATTTGAGGGACGTTGATGTCTGACCGCATGAATTTCTCGATCTTTTCTCTCCCAGGCAGATAGAGCGAGTCCTCGGGGAGTCTCAAAATTCCTTCTGCAGAGTCCCCTGACGACGATGCATTGGCGAAAAAGTTCGACTTCACCATGCCAGTCTTCAGATCGACGACTTTGATGTTGAAGGGTTGCAGCTCCTGTCGGAGCACACCAGAAAAGGATGCAAGGGCTGCCTTGGTGCCGCTGTAGGGCCCTTGAAGAGGTACGGGCATGACACTTGCACATGAAGTGTTGTTCACCAGCAGGGCGCCGTCCCTGGCATTCCGTAGTAGAGGGAAGAACAGTTGCGTAACACGGACAACAGATATAGTATTCAATTCGAACAGCTGCGAGAGTGCAGGTATCGAGGCGTCCATTAGCGGTGTGCTATAGCCTTGTCCCGCATTATTGACTAGTACGTCGAGGGAGTTGTCCGTCATTTTGGAAGTGGCCTCGACTGCTGCTTTGATCGAATCCTCTGAAATCACATCAAGCTGTAGTGTGTCAATGCCCATGGCCTCAAGAGAGGCCATTTTGGCAGTGTTTCTGGCCGTCGCGATGACACGATCGCCATTTTTGTGGAAGGCAACAGCAATGGCAGCTCCAAGGCCACCATCAGAACAGCCCGTGATGAGAACATTACGAGGCATCCTTGACACCATTTTAGTCGGTACTTTGTAAATGTCCAGAAGTTGACTGAATCATCTAGGAGAGGAGTTTGTTTACACATCAACGCAGGCTGCAGGGAGATTTGATCCCGCCGAACTTGGCAGTTAGTGCCGCCGCTTTCGAAGGGCTCCTTGCAGTAACTGTCGCCTCTCTATGATCATCTAGTTGATAAAGGAGATGCATGCACTCAGGTAATAGGTAATGGGCAATAATCAATAACCATGATTTATCCCCCCCAATACTCGCGAGTACGAGGAATGCCTCATGCTCGCCCTGCGCCTTTGATATGCCCCCACTTTTTACTGGATCCCAATTTGTCCATTTGTATAGAGTTGCACAAACTCTCTCAGCTACATCTTTTGACAACGCGTCCACCCCTCCTCAGGACGGGACCACACAAGGCCATCAACATTACCCTGCGAAGGAGAGCCACCTTCACGTGGTGCAGGGTGTCAGTACTCCTGAGAAATGGTCTCCGAGGTCCCGTATTCCTCAGGGACCAGATGTGACTCAGGAGGAAGCTAAGAGCTCTCCCCCTCTACGACGCCGCGCCCAGCCGTGGCCATTGTCCAGCCTGATGACGTGGCACGTTCACCATTGGCAGTGCATTGGCCAGTCGGTTGAACAGGAATCGTCTCAGTTGATGCCCGAAGACACGTACTTGATGTTCAGGCCTGAATATATCAAACGTCTGCCTCATCACGGACAATATCAGCTTCATTATCGCAACCATATCACACATACTTTCGGATATCCGACTGCTGTCACTCCTCGTTGTGCGACCAGGATCTATTCGCTTCATAGAGCTTTGAAGGTCTACCGCTCACTAAGGTGATCACCACGAAAATCTACTTCTCATCCTTACCTGGCCGAGTTGCTATCCCGAAGCTCCAACCATTTCAACCATGGCACCGCTCTATACATGCATCTATAAACAACAGAGACACCTACCCATGGGTAAAGGACTGTCATGGGCCAGGGTACGTGACACTGTTACCCTCTCGCTGCAGGACTGCCATCGACTATCGGCCGTCAGCTCAGCGGTTCCATATACGAAGCTTCACTAGAACATGGGGCACTCCGCTCTCTCGCAAGTCGGGTATATCGACTTTTCGAAAGAAACAAATATGGAAAACCTATCAAACTACGATAAAATTACCTTACAAACGACGCCACGTTATGCCGTGGCCCACCATACCAAACACCATATAAAAATATCAGCAACAACACTAGCGACAGACATTAAGTATCGAACACTCACCGCGGACTGCTAGTCGGAGTGCTTCAGACAGATATCTACAAACATACATTCGGTCAGAAGCATCAATACCGAGTCCCTAATACTATTACTTACAGTACTCCCGCTTCCATTATTGGGGCAAAAATACCCTCGAGAAATACACCCGATCTCTTCTCCAAGCGAGAACCAGGTCGAAAGAATTATCCAGTTCGACGATTGAAAGACCGGACTTTTATAACACAGAAAGAAAGACCTTATCTCAACCTCACAATATTCGCCGCTGGGGATGACGAAAGAGAACTCTCTCCACACTACCGTCAACATACGATAGAAAGCCTACAACACCGACAGCGACGGAAATCCCGTCAGAGCCGAATTTTTAGGACAATTCGGGGCAGAACCCGTTCGTCTTATGTTCTGTAAAGACGAACCTTCAGCTGACGACATTGACCTCGCCCCGGACGGGGTGACCTCGATATTTTTCACGTTGCCCGAGTAGGCTACAAGAAGACAAAAGAGCAGAGCGTGCACCTGCGTGAGGGTCGATTTACTTAGGTAGGGTTTGCTTCAGACTGAGCTGCGTGGTGCTGACAGAGAAAGGGACCCCAACAACCTTCACAACATCATTGCCACTCGAGTCGAAACCCTTTCCGTCCAAATCGAAACCCCTCCACTCAGTCGATTTCCTCTCCACTCGAGTCGATTCCCCTCTACCCGAACCGATCCTACCCGAGTCAGATCATCTTGATTCCACAGCCAAAATGGCGGATCATTCCGGACAGCAGGTGGTCGAGCGCTACATGAGTCGACGCAATAGACTCAAGGGACCTAAGCCACAATAGACGAAACGCATTGATCAAGCCCATCTCCCTCGACTCCCGCTTCGTCCAGCCCCGTAATATTTCCGTCCCCGGTCATCGAGGTGATCTATGGTCGCTACTTGAATTTTCTTTTTAAATCTAGAGGTCCAGAATTTTGGAACCAGATGAAACCTGATGCGGAACCAGAGGCGCAGCTTATTCGCCAGCTGGAGGAACAAACTGACAGACTTAGGACCAAGAAATAGTTACACTATTCTCGGTGCATTTAGGAAGAAGATAGTGTCCGGTGTTGACGAGAGATGATCCGTTCAGGGTCATGCAGTTCGAGAGGAACAAGTTGGAGTGCTGGCAACGCCATTACGAGATCCAGATCCGCTTCTGGCATTCCCTGGAGAGCTGTTGGAGTGCCTTTACAGACAGGAGCAGAGAGAGATTCCCACTGCAAGAGCTAGGGCTGACGACAGTCCTAGCGCAGTTTTTTGGAGAACCCGAGGCAGATGAGGTTGACATTGACGAGAACAGGCCCGGCGGTCGGCTAGAGGAGGTCCTTAGTGACGAGGAGGATGGTGATGGAGGGAAAGAAACTTGGTCCAGGCAGGGCGCCGATGTCGAAAACACATGTTTTGCTTGACGTGATCGATACAAGAAGTTCAGCCTGAGTCTATCGACGAACTCGAAACGCTCTGCGACTGCGTGCTTGACGGCACCGACCAAGGGAATTATATACTGCTCTCGTGGGTCGCCTTCGAATATCGATCCACGGTGCCGTGGGTTGTCGGCTGTAACATCGCTTTTCCAGGAAGCGCGACGGCGGGAGAGGTACAAAATGCAGAGAAAAGAAAGAAAAGAAAGAGGTAAAGGGAAAAGGAAGACGACGGTGGAGATGTCGCCGCCCAAGGACCCAATACCACTTTTTCTGGCTTGAGAAACCCCGGATCCGACTACATGAGGAGCTTCTACGGACTCACTACGAACCAGTCCGGGCAGCCGGAAAATCTCCAGAGTCAGGCTAGGCCAAATGACACTCCCCAGTTCGCGGTAGGTAGGACCTTACTTTAGATAGACCTACGGAATACTAACATATAAGAAGATAGATGGGAAGAGGAATAAGATGGACCCAAGACGAAGAAGACGACCTTGAGTCAGGCGGAGAGGAACAGGAAGATGGTTCAGGGCTCGGGACGACATGGTCGAGAAGAAATGAACTAGACGAAGACCAGCTTGAGTTTGCGGACCAGCAAGGGGATCAAAAAAAAAAAAAAAAGAGACAAGAGCGGCAACGGGTGGCCCGGACCTGTCCTGGCCGTCCATCAAAACTGGTCCCTCTGCTCAACCTGGTCTCTCTACTCTGTTTCACTCAAGCTGGATGCGACCGCCGAACAAGAAGCCGAACGCGACAAGGACATGACGACGAACTGGAACATGAACAAGACGAACCAGACTATGAAGCGTTGAAGAGAAGAGAGGGTATAGGTTTTCCAGTATACCTACCTCGTACTAGTACTAGCAGCCCAACATCAGACTACACAAAATAACAATAAACAAAAAAAAACATATTATAAGAACAGGATTAGCTGTACTCGGAACTACCAGCACCTCATACCTCGCACTCAGAATCTACTCCGCGGTTGTCCACCCAATCCACCACGATTGATACTCCTTTTTTGCCAAGACTTCCGCCCCTTATCGATAAGGGACCCTCACTCGACTAGTTTTCCAAAGTTGCACGAGTGTCCTCTTTGCAGATGACTTGGTATATCGCCATAATTCAGCCCCCTCCCCGAACTCAACCAACAACCCCCTTCCTCGCACTTGTTGAGGTTCCTCTCACGACTACATTCCGCTTCGACGTCCCCTTGGTCCCCATATTTTCAAAGGCGTGTCTGGCACCAAAAGGCAGCACAAACCAACCCGGCAATTCATGAGCGCAATCTCAAGGGGGAAAACCACCACGCCGGCCCTCACCCACACACATAGCACAACAACACACCACCCACGCCGGCCCACCGCACGACATTGATCCAAGATGAAGTTCCTCACATTCTCCCTCCTCATCCCGATCGCCTACCTCTCCATCCTGATCGGCAGCATGGCCACCTTCTCCCACCTGTACCGCCAGAGACAAGTGAAGAAGAAACTCCGGCTGGCGCCCTACTTCCCCCCGCACACGACCCGCAACATCTACCTCTCCCTCCTCCACCTGCAAGACGACGGCAACACCAAAGTGCCCGACTCGGTGCTGCGGGCCGCGCTCCTGGCACGGGCGTGCGACGACATCCGACGCATCATGGAAGTCCGCATGCGGAAGCCCGCGCTGGCCGCGCTGCTGCAACGCGGGGTCGTCGGCGACGAGATCTTCCAGCGACTGCAGCGCGCCGAGCAGGAACTCGAACTCGAACTCAAGGACGTGGTCGCCGAGGCCAACGCGTTGAGCGGATCGGGCGGTGGGCCGGGCGGCTCGCCGGGCACGTGGGGACAGACCATCTTCCAGAGCGCCAACGAGATGGTGCAGAACCAGATGCTGCGGGAGAAATTGGACGCCATCAAAAAGACCCTGCCGGAGGAGAAGGAGAGGTGGGAGAAGCAGCGGGAGACAGCCAGACGGGAGTTACTGGGCGGCGACGACCCGTCAGGGACTACCACCGCGGGCGGCAAACCCAGCACTACCTCTACTACCTCTACTACCTCTACTACTCCCGCTGTAGCCTCAGCATCTCCACCAGCAGCCCCGGCAGAAAAGACGGCCCCCAAACCCGCCACAGCAAGCAGCGACGAGGACGGCGTCATCGTCGAGACACCCGCCGCCGAAATTCCGACCACCACGGGCAAACAGAAAAAGAAGAAAGGGAAGAAATGAAAAGCAAAATCCAAATCGCGTTTATTATGAGCAGGCCATGCATCCCGGATGATCGGCGCCCGGTTGGGTCCATTGTATGATATCGATATTTGATTCTTCCTCATACATCATTCTTTTCTTTTTTTTTTTCCATCCCCCCTCTCTGGATCATCCATTTTTTTTTCTCGGTCTCTCTGTGGGGCATTAGGTCTGAGGTGTTTATGCGTCTATGCCTCTGTTCTAGAGAATTCTGGAGTTCCTTTTTTCCTACCTAGGTTTTAGGTACCCGTGGGAAAAAGGGGTGGGAAAAGGGTGGGAAAAGGGTGTTGAGGCTTATACTTCGCTCATGGATGGAGCACATCGAGGGCATCGAGGGCATGGAGTACGGGTCTACATTTCCCAATTTTAGCACTAAGAGCACTAAGAGCACAAAGAGCACACGAGCAAGAGAGCAAAGAGAGGAATAAATGAAGAGATTGAACGTCCAGCATCCAGCTCCAGCATCCAGCATTTTTCACGTTTCGTTTGTGTTTTCGAGGGTTATATCCCTACGAATACAACGCAACAATGTCCTTCAGAGAAAAGTCTGAGTGACAGAAGAAAACTCTCCGGCGGCGGCGGCGGCGGTGGTGGTGGTGGAGGCAGCGTTGCCCCAGGGTCATGCTGTATATTCGCGCAGTATGGGACAGGTTATGGTCTGGATACGTATGTACCTAGGTAGGTCTGTACACAGCATGGAGGCAGCAGAGCAAGGGAAAGGAGAAAAACATTGTACCTAGTATCCAATGGGAGGTGACTGATGGCTCTTTTCTAGCCGCTAGACTATACAATACATATTCCCATGTCCCTGTCCCTCTAGGCCACAGTGATCATGATATTGTTGTTACAAGGAAACTTCAACGTCGCTCCAGTCACGCTGCGTCAACGCCTCAGCAGGGATGGATGTCCTCATCTGCTCGGCGACCCCTAGAATGTCTTGCACCAGGAGCCCCTCGGCCGCACCTTTCATTCTCTTCTCAATGACGAGGCAGAGAAAGGCAGATAGCACATCGAGCCTGAGCTCTCGTGCGGGCCGACTTTCAATCTGCTCGACCGCCTGGGGATCAACGTCCTTCTCCTGGACCATCTTATCGCCGATGGCGACCACAATCTCGGTCAGAGCCTTGACCGCACTCTGATACTGGAGGTTCTTCTTCATCCGCAGGCCGCGAGCGCGGGCCGAGAGTGGCACGAAGTCGGACGCGAACGAGCGAGCCACCTGCATGATGATCAGCCGGCTAACTTCCTCGTGCGGCACCACATTGAAAGACTCCCGCAGACCATGCAGCGCGCAGAGGGTGCCATGAGGATCGGACGAGAGGCAGAAGCAGCGTATGACCTGTTCGTACAGTTCATCAGAGAAGTCTGCCTGGACGGCAGATCTTTTTTTGAGGTCAAGCCTGCCGAACCATTCTTGCATCTCTGCGAAGAGCGTTCGCGCATCAGGAAACCCTCCCTGATGTCGATGAGGAAATGCATAATAATGCTTGGCCGTGTCCCAGAGTGCCGCAAACGTCTCAAGATCGGGGGTGATCGATTGCTTCAAGGTCGAATATTTGCTCCAGACATCTGGGATCTGCCCTAAGCGAAGTGAAGCATAAAGCCAATGGTTCATGATGAATGAATTCGGCTTGATCTGAGCCGAACCAGTCATAACGTCGGTGAGATGACTGGCGTTGGCAAGATCTGAACGGCGTGTGTAGTGTTGGAGCAAGATGGAAAATGTCTCAATTGTTGCAGCTGGCGCCCCCCGTTTGAGGAAGAAAGGAATTCGCCGGCTCTCGACTTTGGAGGTCAAATTTGTAGGACTAGGATCGCCGGTCTTTGAAAGCCGCTTCTGAACCACTTCAATCCGGGACTGGATCATGGCCCAAGCAGTCTCCTCGGCTTTTTGGCGAGAAGTTGGCGAACCTTGACGGAACCAGGCTGCGATGAGGCCATTCAAGGGCCCAGCATCAGGTTTGATCCCACGCTCATACATGAGGTCAACAACCAGAGCTGCCTCGTCTGTCCTCCCCTCGCCGAGGAGCCATTTGATCCATGCCGCAAAGAAGTATTTGTTGTGGAAGCTGCGGGGGAAAAGCGCGAGGGAAGAGAGCCCGATCTGACTGACGAGGTCCTCACCCGATGCCTGAGATTGACTGGACTCTTTGCTCAGATCCCTGAAAATCCTCAGTGAATCGGTTGGCGACTTGGCTGTAAGCATGAACATATCTTTGAAAACCGCCAGAGCGAGATCAGTACGGCCAGCATCAAGTAGGGCACTACTGACTCGACCCAGAATATCCAACGTCGTCTTTTGGTCTTCTCTGCCCTCGAGCCTCTTCCGCAGCTCCAGATAGCAGAACCAGGTCTTGGACGCAGCCGAGGGACTTTGACTTTTGGCCCAGGCAGAGATAACCATGACAAGAGCTTCGGGATCAATCATTGTCGTGTGGTCATAGCATTCAAATGCCAAACGCTGCGCCTTCTGTGGCTTTCCAAGTTGCACATAGAGCCGGATACCGGTGATCCAGAACAGTTCAGCAAGATCCTCCGCGAGACCCTGACCCAACTTGGGTCTCTGTGCTTCCCACGCTTCTGCCGCAGCGGCGATGTTTCCAGTAGCCTGCAGTGCATCGATATATTCAATCCACTCTTTGTCTTCCAGGGGCACATCTGCCTTCATCATATCCTTGCCCAGCATTTCAAGGTGTTTGGGTCTGTAATAGACCGTACTCTGAGACTTCCAGAGGAAATGCCAGACATCTTCGGGGAGGATCAAGGCAAAGTTTGGAACGTGTTGCTGGCACCGGAGATACCATTTCCACAGGGTGAAATAAGACTTCTCGTCCTTCTTCTGCTGCGCCGAGTCCAACGCCGTGTTGAACCGCCTGACATAGATCTTGTCTCTGATAGGAATGCTGAGGGTGACCTTGAGAGCTGATTTCTGCGTCGTGGCTTGTTTCTTGCCCTCCTCTTCTCTTGCCAGCTCTTCCAAATCTTCCTCGGACACCAGATCGAGATCCTCAGAGGGCATGACACCCTCTTCTTCGAGGGCCTTTAGCAGTTCCTCCCTCTCATTGACGGGGAAGGATCGTATAAACTCGCTGTTGGGTCCGAAGGGCCCTTCTCGCATCACCGCGAGTTCGCGATCCAGTTTGTCCAACTCTGCCTTCAAGGCATGCGTTTCATCGTCGAGGAGGTCACGGACCGGGAGTCTGGTGGACGCATCGTCACCCTGTTGTTCGAATTCATGTATATCCGCCTGCGCTATGGATGTCGTCGGTGGTTTACGCGGATGAGGGGGACGTGAGCGAGCGGTTTGGCGATACTGTCGGATCGGTTGGAGAGATTGCAGGCAGAGTTGATGGCCCGCAAAACTCGGAGACAGGCAGAATTGTTGGTGCCATCTTCGAGACAGCTGGCAGATGCTGCGCATAGAGAATCCGACGGGTCTCTGTCTGCACAATGATCTTACACTCGAGGGAATGGTGTAGTTGGATTTAATAGACTGCGGCGAGGAAAAGTCTCGCAGACACAATCAACTTTTTGCCGAAGATCAACCGGCCCCTGGAGCCTCTTAGCCTCGACTACTATTGACTTATCTCAGAGTACATTTCTTGGGTTTCTACACCTTACAGCGTTGTGAAGGTGGAAAAGAAATACATTATCACTCAGAAAGGGAAGTTGTCGTTGAATTTGGAGACGAAGGACATGGCCAATTGGTCCCTAATATATGGAATGTCTGTCTGACAAAGTATTTCCCGCAATAAAGTCAAATATTGCACTTGGGTTTCTGTCAGACTAAACCATCTCCTTGCGCGACGCGCCTCAATAGAAGCGCGTCTCGGCTCGATTTTGTAAAGTCATCTGAACCGAACGAAGTGCTGCTGAGTCCAGAACCCCCCAGATGGACGACGTATCTCACACGGTAAGCTGGACATAAATCCCTCTCCGGCTATATGCTAATGATTGGTAGACCTGCTACATCTTCAAACCTACCAATCAAGACACCCAAGAGATCGATCCGAGGCCGCAGAAGAGGCGGAAGTTGAGTAAAGTCCCCCCGAAGGATGCTCAAGAAGAGTACTCGTGGCCGCGAGTGCTGGGTGGACAAGAATCTCCGGATGATGCCGGCCTGCGAAGAAGCCAGTTCGAAACAGTATGGGCCGAACAGCAGAAAAAGATCCAGAGGATCGTGGATGTGGTTGATGAAGGATTTGTTGGTCCTGTCATGAGATTTGCGCATTCCCAGAATGCAGACAACCTTCGCACACACAAGAGACTCAAGACGGCGTTGCTTGCCTTGGGCCCAAACACGAATCACCACCACGACCTTCATGAGAGGTGGAAAAGCACGATGCGAGGAGACACATCCAGAGAACCGGAAGTACTGGTCACTCTGCAGCCAGCTCACTGCCCAAACATTCAGACGGCATTGAAAAACGTGGTTCGATCCGCGATTTCTGGTCACCAAGGAGCTGAGAAGTATACCGAGTTCCTCAACGAGCACAAACTCCTGATCCCGATGAACTTCGACCTGGAATTACTTCAGCGGTACGTCCTACGTTATCACATCGAGCGAGTGGTGATATCCATCATGGACGTCGAAGGTTTCGACACGTCCATCTTTGCGGAACTGGTCTCGACCTTTCACTCGTGGTCGGACAGGATTCCAATCATTCTTTTTGTTGGGATATCGACTACTGTGGAACTCTTCGAGTCTCGGTTATCTAGACAGACGGTTTCAATGCTCGACGCCGAAATCTTTGCGACGAGTCCGGATTTCAATCTGGAGGATCGCCTGTTTGACTTGTACGAGGCCATTCAGCATGATCAGACCGCAGAAGTGTTTCTCGGTCCATCAGTCGTCAACGAGCTGGCCACTTTGGCGGAAGACCAAGGCACCACCCCGGCGACATTTGCTCGTGCCATCAAGTATGCTCACATGTCTCATTTCTTCGCGAATCCCCTCTCGAGATTGTCCACCGAGGCCACTACGAAATCGCCATGGAGCCCGGTACTGTGCCAGGCCATTCGCAACCTCGCCAGCTTCAGGTCTCACTGCGAAGCGCTGGCAAAAGGCAACAAGACCGAGCGGGAGACCGTGCGCCGCCTGCTTGTGTCTGACGACGAACTTCAGAGGGTCGTTGTCGAAGCGATCGAGTCGGGGAAACGAATCATGCGTTCAGGCCTGTCCGCCGTCTCCACTCTGAGGTACATATACCACTGCACGCTCAAATTGGAGTCGTACAGTCGCTGGGAGAGCGAGACCCATCTCCTGCAATCCCTACCAGACCTGACACAATCGGAGATTTTCGAGGCCATTGAAGACGACCTCCAAAATCTTTCGTCTGAGGTGTCAGCCACACAACTGCTTAAAGGCTCCGTCCCAGAACTGCGGGATCTACACGACTACCAGCGGTCTTGCGTAGAACCAGAGGCAGAGACGGGGACAGATGCGAGCCCCTCGGAAGCCGAAAAGTTCATCAGCCTCCTACGCCGATACCTCGAGAGCCGCACATCGTCCTCTTCCCCCGAACACCATCTCATCAGTCCCTTCCGCCACTTCATGGCCGAGGCGTACACCATGGCGCAAAAGTCCCCTCTCGCGCAGACCATGCATCCGCGTCCGCGGTACTGCCTCGAACGCGCCCTGACTCGACCGGCAGACTATCTCGGATGCTCATGCTGTACGCCTCGGGGTTCAGGCGAAGCACACGCCGCCACTAGGGGTGACGTGCCAGACAAGGCCAACCTCCCGCCCACGAGCCTGTTGCTGAACATGCTCAACGAAGCCGGCACGGTGGTCAACGTGCGGGACCTGTGGGACGCGTTCCGCGACACGCTCTCACACGGCACGGAATCGGCTTCGCCAGACGCAGACAGAGATGGACTTGACGATGATAATGACGACAATGACGATGACGAAGTCGGTGGCGACGACAAGAGCAACGACGAGAGACGGACTCTAGCCCTGTTCTACCGCGCCCTAGCCGACCTGCGGTACCTGGGACTGATCCGGCAAAGCAAGCGCAAGCCCGGGGTAGAATGCATTGCGAAGACGGCATGGATGGGACTTTGACAGCAGACTCGGCTTCCCTTTGTAACAGGAGATATAGCTCTCCTTTTCCCCTCTTAAAAACAAAGGGCCTCGTCATCCTCCTCCTCCTCCTCCTCCTCCTCCTCCCCCCTTTAGGGGACTGTGCTACCATAGGTAGGTAGGTAGTATTAAGTACCGAGACACTTGCACACCTACACACCTACACCGCACACTCCATCTCATACCCCGGTACCGAAGTGAGTTCCTTCATTTCCATTTCAGGGCTGAGAGATATGAACTCGGTATATATAGAAGAGAGAGAGATATCCATATATCCGTACACATGAATATCCATATAAATGAATAAAATGTATGTAGGCGGCTTACATATATGCTTCGATGTTCACGGCCAACCAGGACCGCAAATTGTTTTTGTATATGTAGTAGCCAACGAATGGCATGACATGGCATGAAGGAGCAGAACTTATTCACTCCTTCATATTCACTCACTCACTCACTCACTCACTCACTTTAGGTAGGTAAGTAGGAGTTCGATGACATAAAACATCTAACATTAAAAACTCCGCCAAATCTTCCTTTCAAAAAGGGGCCCAGAACTGAATAGCTGGGCCCTATATACCAAAAACGCCCCGATGCTAATGTCAATATCAATGCTGATAATGCAACAATCCAACCCTGTGTCTGTACCATTGTCCCATTGTCCCAGTGGGTTGGTGAGTGTCGTCACAACAATACCAAACTAATACAGCCAGCCATTCCATGCCCATCCAAGTGTCTCCGTGTATATAAGTCCTTCGAACCGCAGACCGGATTGCGCTGCCAAATCCCATTCCACCCGTCGCTTGACCTGGAAACAAAAAAGAAAAGTCTGTTCCTCGTAGCCCCCTCCGCCACATGCATGATCTCATCCAAGTAATAAGACAAAACGGCAACACGAAACGTGCTTGACAAACGCCAACCAACCAGCAACACCTGTCGTCGTACGTACAGCAACCCTTCAGCAATGGCATAACAAATCAGCGTGGGACATAGGGGTATGATCAACAATAAATGAAAAAGAAAAAGAACCGACGCGATCTAATTGTCGTAACCGTCAAGAGAATATCAGAGCTGCAGGGAAGCAAGTGCGCGCACACAGTATCAGAAAGAAGAGTCTCTCTGATTCTCTAAACGGCGCCCTTGGGGTGAGCATAGACACAGCGGTCGCAGAACGCGTGCTGACAATCTGACATCATACAGAATTTGCTCAGGCCATAGGCGTAGGATGCGTCGCACTGGCAGCAGGTGACGACCGTGGCAAAGGCTTTACGTGGCAGATGGTGCCGTCGACCAGAGGTCGGGTTCCGAGTTTGACTGTGGTCGAGTGTATCGGACGTTCGAGAGACTGCTGTCGTGCCATGGGTTTGACCCATACTTGATATTTTCTGCTGAGTGCTGCGGGGATCCACGGCATGCTTTGAGGAAGGCTGGTAGGTTGGCGACAGGCCGCTCTGTTGGGAAGCCGAAGATTGAGAACGACAGGAGGGCGTCTGTGAGGCATCTGCGATATCTTCGTCCTCTTCAGCTGTGATACCTTGGCTCTGCTTCCTCTCCTCAGATAGTGCTCCCTTGGTCTTTCCATTACCTGTGAGTTCAACCCACTCCTTGCTTGACTTGTTCTCTTTCATGAAGTGATTAGCAATGTGACCGAAGCGGTACGCGATGGCATCTGTATCAGTCTGCGGGTGTACGATGATATCCTTGCAGAATCCACACCAGAATCGACCCTGATGGTTGCGTGATACTCGGCGTTGCGGGGCCAGTTCCTCGGGTCGTGGAATCGAATGGGCCTCCTGCATATGCGTGACGAAGTGTGATGAATCATGAAAAAAGACACGAAAACATAGATGACAGTGCCAACACTCTTGTTGTTCGTGTTGATTCCGCTCGTGCCTCTTCCAATCATCTTTACTGCCAAAGGTTTTGGTGCATCCGTCGTAGACACAACCATATGGCTTCTGATGCCGTTTCATGTGCTTGTTTAGCTCACTTTGCCTGGGCATCACCTTTTTGCATCCCTCATAGTGGCACCGAAACTGCGTCGGCCTTGTCGCAGGCGATCGCATGCCTCCAGAAAGTCCGGCGTCGGTGGTCCTCGACCGCGGCCCCACAGATGAGGCAGCGTAACTCGTCAAGGCATCGCTGCCGTGTAATGACAAGCGGAATTGAGTCAAAATCTCCTCATCGGAGCGCAATTCACTTCCTCCTTTGGAGCGATGACGTTCTAAAAAGGAGTGGATTTCCTCTTCCATCGCCTTCTGGAGCTCAGACTTGGACGAATTCTCGAGTGCGGATATGTTGACTTGGTAGCTTTGGTGTGGCGAGGACCCCAAGCCGCTATCGGTGATGGCGGGGTTGGTACTACTTCCAACAAAGCCAAGGTCTTCTTCTTGTGAGCACTTGAGGTCTGATGGAATATGCCGCAGTTCCTGGGGTGAGATGAAGTCGGCCATCCGGTCCTGGTCAAGATCTGGGACGGCAATTGTATTGGGCCGTTTGAATCTCCAGGATTGGTCAGAGTCGTATGCAAAGTTCGTTTTCAGTGCCGCAGCGGCAGCGTCAATGGACTTCCGAGGCACACGAGGGAAGAAGTGGTAGTTAACTCTTTGATTGGTAAAGTCGGGAGGGAGCTGTTCCAGATCTTGATAGCGAGAAAAATCGGCCTGTGACCAAGCCCGTGGCATGTAGGCTGTGGGTGGTGACATGTCGTTGATGTCCGGGTTAGGAAAGGCTCGCGGTTGTCGCAAGCTGTGGTTCTGGGTCGCCGTGGATATGTGTCGGCCCTGATGTTGTTGCGACATCGCGTGGGTTAGGCCCAAGGGCCGGATCAGATCTTGATTATTGACCTGACCATTGTGACTTGTCTGGCGAGACATCTGGACAGTCTCGGGCCTGTTTGAATTGAAAATGAGGTCGGCATTTGAATAGCTGTTGTTATTGTCAGAAAGGGAAAACCGATCGTGACCGGAAACCAAGGGCGACGAGGCCGAGGCGATCGACGGCGCAAGGGAGGCCGTCTCATCAGCATGTGCATGTTGATGTTGCTGCTCATACCATTTGTTGGACCTTGCAAGAGTCAGTGCGAAGAATATGCGGTAGAGGGCGGACACGTACGCTTGAAGTAAATGTTCCACGTTCTCTTCGCCATGCATCTTTTTGAGATGCTGTTTGAAATTGTCCAAACGAGGCCATTCCTTTCCCGTTTTGTTGCAGCCGTCGGCGCAACATTTGTAGGATCTGGTCTTCCGGTTGTTGATATTATGCACCGCCTTTAGATGTCTGTCAAGGTCATTGACAGTTGCAAACCCTTTGGCGTTCCGAGCGCACTCCGCAAAGGGACATTTGTGCTCTCGCTTGTGGCGAGCACAGTGTTTTCTGCGATTGCGCCGGTCAACTTTGCAGCTGCAGACGGATTCATACACAACTTACTTCAGATCGGACCTTGTCTTGCCCGTATACCCACATTCCGAACATTCCAACTCTCCAGGTCTTTGCTGCGGTCGTTGAGTTGCGTTCGGAGCACGAGAGCCGTTGGTTGGGCGAGTGGAATGAGCATAGGGTGGCAAATGGGAAGTCGCGTCCATGTCCTGGTCATCCATTTCTGTCTGCTCGTCCATGACCGAGTCTACTTCATGCTGAGATTTCCTTGATCGAGTCTCGTAGCCTGAATCTCCTAGGGATTTTTGTGCGCTGGCAGAAGAGAATGTACGATCATGAAGGGGAGTTTCCAGATGTCGTGGAGGCAGCCCAGGTTCATTAGAGCTCCCTGTGTCAGATAAAAAAGCAAGTACTCCTCCGGTGGCAGTCAGATGATTCCATGGTGCGGCAGCGGGCTGGTGACTGGTAACACCGTCGACGGCATCAGAAGACGATTCCACAAAGCGAGGTGGGAGGGATGTGCCAGGAGACGAAATGGAATACTGGGAGTCGCCTTGCATATGTTGGAACGGGTAGGGTTCAAAGGAGCCAGAGTAGTCCGGGAATGGAACATCAGAGGACGAAAAGAAACTTCTAGGAATGTGGTCATCGGGGGAGGCCATGGCCGTCAACGGGGTCTGCAACCCTGTCAAGACAGGATCCGTTGGGTAGGCTGAGTGTAGGGCAGACGCAGATGCACTGCCCTCGTCTGGTATTGAGACAAATGCCTGGTGCAATGAGTCAGAAACCACCGGAGGGACAGGGTGGTGCGGCAGTGCCGGATATACATTTGATCTTGTCGGCCAGGCAGGTTTGACGACCGATTGACGCGGTCGAGAGTGGTTGTCTACCATGACGAGAGAAAGGAGGTCGAAGGACGCAATATAACTGACACCCTAAGAGTCAGCCCAGACAGAAAGACAGAAAGACCCGATAGGTAACTAGTTCCCAATCATGCGAAATGAAATGAGGCAAAAGTTTCGTTTCCTTGCCCGCCCAGCTGGAGGAGGGGAATAGAATGCTTACCCTGTTGTTCAATTCGAACCGCGCAGATTCCGGGGTATACAAGAGGCCCAAGGTCTGACTGCGCAGGCGAGGACACGCCACTCGAACAAGGGACGATAGAGCCAGCAACAGTCAAGAGAGGCTCAATGACGGTATGAAAACACCGCCTGATTGAATTGAGACCGGCGACGAAGGAATTACGCCTAGGGCATCTTTTGTGAAGAACGGTGGAGGTCGAGATAGCCAATCAACATAGGCAAGGCGGTGCGTTCAGCCTAGCCTAGGATTTTTTTGGCCCGACTCGACAAGAATGAGGCGGCTGAAGAAGGCCAAATCTCCATGCTGCTGGGGGGGAAAGGAAGACTAGATATTAATTTATGAACATGGAGAGAGGAGAGAAGAGGGAAGGGAGAGAGAGAGTTTGGCACCAACTTGGGACTTGGGGCACTTGAGAAAGACATGGGGGGGCGGTGCAAGTAATGGGAAGAGGGACTCACGGGTTGGTTAGACGAGCCTGATCAATCCAGCCGTGTGGAATTAACGGAATGGTGGAAGAAGTCGTTGAGGAGTCATGGTTCTTTTCTGGATGAGAATGAAACCAGTACGATATTTCAGAAGAAACGAAGAATCAAGGGATGCAACAACCGGTGTAGGAGCGGTAGGGGAAAAGGTGGTGTAGTTGAACAGTTGTGTGTGAATTGAGTGCCCGGGTGTGCGTAAGAGTCAGTTGAGGTGTACGAGGTCATGGTATCAAGGAAGAGTGGGGGTGAAAGAGAAGGGCAAGAAGGGATAACCGCGTATGGAACGGGGTGGGTTTTTGGGTGGAAAGATGAGAAGAGATGAAGAATGACGGTTGTGGCCGTTCATGACTGGCTCAAATCTGCCTCAGTTGTCCGACTCGTGACCGGAAGTAACAAAACTACTGGAACTACTGTGACCGGTCAGACGGGGCATTTGTCGCGGCAGAAAGAAATCAGCCAATGATGAGTCCGGAGTGATCCTAGATAGCTGTGAGTGTGCCTTGGTCTAGTCTATTTATGGCTTAGTGGCTGCCTGTTGCTGCCTGCTGCTGCCAGGGACTTTTGGGTACGGATACAGCGACTTGTAATGTCAGTATTTGTACGAGGATCCTTACGTAGCAGGAGAGCAGGTGATTTGGTACCTTGCCTGTACCTCGTACGAACCGAGGTATCTCCATGAATATCGATATAGATACTCCGATGTATCATATCAAATAATACACCACTACTCACCAATACTACTTACAAATATACACCTATCAACCCTTACTCTGGATATCGGATTCCCCTCTGCGGTCATGCACCCGCAACCCAAGCTGTGGCTATGTACATTGGTGAAATGCCAAGGGTACCTCTTTCTTCCTATCTCTCTTGGTCCTCGTACCTAAATACCTGGTGTCTGGTGTTTATTAATACACGGCCCCCACTGACGTCCAACACCCTGTTTGCCCTGTCCTCCAGCGGCCCGCGCTCTTGATCGTCTGTCTCGTACCAAATCCTCTGACTGGCTCATGCACCTAGGCACCCTACTGCTTCCGAAAAGTCCTTGACTTTCAAAACTCCCAAAAGTTCCAGAATTCAATCTCAAGTTGCAAAACTCAAACTTGTTCGCATAGTCCCATCATTGCATTGATCATTGCCATGCCAATCATAACCCAGACTCTAGTCGTGGGACTCAAAAAAGAACATCATCGGGGTATCTAGAAATACGACCGTAACCTCTCCGACATCAAGGTCTGAACCACACCCAATCCCAAATCCCGGACTCCTCGACTCCCGAACAATCAATCCCTCGGCGCTCTCGCCGCCTCACTCTGGAAAAAGTGAATCCGCTAACATCTTCCAACTTGATCATGCAAAATGCATGTCTGCACTTGTCTCTCCCGTCCCCGGTCCCCCGTACATATACTGTTGCGCCGTGTGCACATGCAAACCCGTCTGCAGACCCAGCCCTGCGCGACCCTCAAGTTCCATTGGGTTGGCGTTGCTCCCTCGTGGTTGATTCGGCAGCATGGATGAGGCATATTGCCCCGCTACAGCATACCCTGGCATCGATTGCGGGTGCGAGTGCGGGCTCACGTACATGGTTTGCATCGGTGCTTGCGTATACATCGCACCTGTTGAGTCGTAGAATGCATTCTCATACCCGGAACCCATGGGTTGAGATCGGGGTGTCACCATTGCGTTCTGAGGCGACAGATTATGTGAATGCGGCACTTCCATCTGACTCGGGCCCATGAACACAGGAGACTGATGACTGTAGCTGGCCGTAGCACCGTAGCCGCCCGCCATCATTTGCCCTGAGGCTGTCGGTGTCAATGAATGTGGGCTATAGTATCCCTGTTCGAGGGGAAACCCTCCGTTCTGAGCATGGACGTGCATCGAAGCTGGTGACTGTCCCGCCGATGATGTCTGGTAGGCCGATGTCGCACTGACAGGATATGGCGAGAGATTGCTCATATCCACGTTATTCATCGCTCCGGGAATGGTACCAAACGACGACACCATCATCGGCGGTTGATCGATGGGGCTCACAATGGTGTCAGGAGACACTTCTGCCATATCCACCAGTTGCAGGACCGGCATCGCGATCTGTTCCATATGCTTGCCCATATGGACCGACAGCTTCTTGAAACTCGAACAAACGTTGCCACAGAAGCGGCAGGGTTCATCTCGGGGCTTCTTTTCCGTCTCAAAGCGGCACTTATCCACCATAAGCCACACTTCACTGTCCTCTTGGGGACCGTTGTTGACAGCCTTGTTCTTGCTGCTACCCGAACCTCGCTTGACCTTGGGCTCGCTCATCTTGTGTTCCCGTACCAGGTGTTGGACAAAGTTGTCTTTACGGTAACAAATATGGTTGCATTCCTGGATCGAACATTGCCACCACTCTAAGTGTCGGTGCCGCTCATTCTCGTGACGGACCCAGTCGGCCTTTCGCTTGAAAGACTTCGACTCGGAACAATTGGGAAAGGTGCAGGAGAAGGGCTGAACGTCCTCATGTACGTGCTTGGTCCAATCGGACGGTTTGTGAAACTTCTTGACTTTGAAGCAGAGATTACACTCAAACTCGGCCGGAAGTCGTGGTACTGGTGGTAATGGGATCCCCGGAGGAAACAGTGCCGGCGTGACAATCCCGTCGGTGAACCCAGACTCGTCCACCTCATCGTCAGCAGGGTTGCTGATCTGAAATTGTGTCAGCGTCATGTCTGGATCCTTGGTGCTGGCCCGTGGCGCCAGCGGGGTCGCCTCGCCGCCCAGCTCAAAACAAAACTTGCCCGAAGGGCACTTGCGCGCAACCTGGACAGACCGAGTGTGTTTAATCTTGGTTTCGATCAGTTTCTTGTAGCGTCGAATCTGCTCCTGGCCAACCCGTTCAACCAGATACGGCTCGAGCCTGGGATTGAGTTTCCGCGCATGGTCCCTAAATCCTTCGATTGTCGGCTTGATGTCCTCCGCCCGAATCTCAAGATCCATCTTGAGGGCAACCTCGTCTGTTTCATCTTCATCGTCATCCGCAGGGGCCACTTCGTTGTCTCTAACCTGTGCCGCCAGGATGGGTTCGCGCTCATGCATCGGAGACGCAAGAGTTGGGATAGGCGGTCCGCCGTGCTTGGTCAATAAATCAGCCAGGCCCGGGTTAGACGACTTTGCATTCTTGGTCACGTCACTCTTGCTACGCTGCTTTCTTAGCGTTTGCAAGGGGCGTGTCGACTTGGAGGCATCAAGACCCCGGGCCACCGAGTTCCCACGGCCGACAGCTGCAAGCTGGCCAGTCATCGCAAGCAAGGCACTACCCGTATCCAAGGGAGGTGACTTTGGCTTGCCGAAACTCGGCATCCTCTGGGGTCTGACGCTCCCAACAGAGCTTCGGTGGGCATGTCCTCGTGGCTCTGTCTCGTTGTCCTCTGCTAAGGGCTCTTCCTTTATATTGCTGCTACTCCGCCTAAGGACGATGCCTCGAGCCTTGCTGAAGATGCTGCTCGTTCGTTCCCGGCCCCTTTTTGAGAGGGACAGATGCCGAATTTGACTGCCTTCGACGATGGAGTTGATTTCGCTTTCGCTGAGACGACGTCCCGTTCCCCACGTGGCAGCCCGAGAGGCAGTTTCCCACTTTGCTGCTTCCTCGTTGAATTTGTAGGCGGCTGCGTTGGACGTGTTCGGTTGCCCCCTTGTGCTGACAACAGGCCCACGAACCGGATCTTGCCACGGGCCTCGCCTCATGAACTGAGTAGGGAGCGGCTCCTGCGATTCCGCCGAAGTTTCATCTTCAAGCGGAGGGAAGGCGGTTTGGTCAGTCGATGCATGACCATCCAGAGCACGTGGTGAGAGGCGTGGGGATCTAACAACCCGATAATGCTCGAGGACCTGCTCAGTGAGCTCTTCAATGTCCGACGACTGCACCGAAACTTCGTCAAAATATTCGTCGTCCGAATCGACATCAACGAGAGCTCCTGGGCCAGGGATATGCTCGTCCGAGTATACGGGGACACGATGGTCTAAACGACCCTCAGTGGTATGAGCTCGCCGCCTTGTGCCTTGAGGTGTCCGGCGAGAAGCTTTCCCTCCCGATCCATCCTCCGGGCCACTTCCGGCGTCGCTCGTGGCAAGCCATTCTTGAACCTCGGCGTTTCTTTCCTCAAGCTGGCGCTGCTCTTCAAGTTCTTTGGTTGAGGATGTTGTTTCGTCGTTCCTCGAATGTGGTCCGAGCCCGTGACGTTGGGTTGGCGTCGAACGCGAACTCTCCGTGCCATTGACATCCGGGGGCATGAGATGAGATGGGGACACATCAGCATCGCCGGGTCCCGCTCCATCGTGCCTAGCTTCGTCTTCGTCTTCCTCCTCGTCCTCCTCAGAAGATTCGCCTTCGCGACCTCGCTTTGCAGATGCAGGCATGAGGTTCTGTGGAATCTCAGGCTTCACACCAGAAGCTCCGTAGTCGGATATCATGACCACGGGACTCGGTGCACGTATATGGGCGGAGTATTGCCAGGCGTTCACCTTGTTACTGGGCGAGAGGACGCGGTTAGGCGTTGTGTCCACTTTGAGGTTTTGAGAGGCTCCCCTCTTGTGGGAAGCGCCCAGGTGGTCCATTGATTGATTTTGTCCCTGGCTGGCACTTTGTATTTGCGGAGGAAAAGGAAGAGGCGAGCCAAGTGAGGAGCTCTTGGAACTCCTAAGCTCTTCTCCAGACACGAATTTCGGCAGCCCGTCCTCGGGGCGTTGAAGACAACCTCGTAAATCTGAGCTACCTGAAACTCCATGCGCGGCCTCAAAATCGTTTGAGCCGTAGGAATCGACTATCTGAAGTTGTGCCGCCTCCTGTGTTAAGAATTGTTGCTCCCAAATTTGTTCTTGTGGAGTAGTATGTTCGCTCAGAGGGTTTTCAGAGGATTCTTCCGTTGTCAAGAAATCGTCAAAGGAGGATTCGCGGTACGGAGTATCTTCTTCAAGGTTGTAAATGTCAGCAGAAGGGTGCAAGGATCCAGGACTCGACACTGCTGGGAGCGTGAAGTGGGCATTGCCCGGCCAAACGTCCGATCCACTCCCGACTTCCTGCATTCCTTGAGAGGGGTTTGACGTTATACTCGCATTGTGATGATGGCTCTTCGACATTGAAGAATTCGCCCTGTGTTGCTGGTGGCTTTGTGTTTGTCGCGGTAGGTGAAACGCTGGAGTCGCCAGGAGCGGAGATTGCTGCCCAGTCCTCTGGGCACTGTAGGAATTCGGGATCGAGTGCGACATTTTGTCGCAAGTGTGCAGCCTGGTAAGAGGAAAGCGAGATGTGTCCCTGCTATTTTGCTCAATTCTCAAGTGGGGACGATCTGAGAGGTCCCGAATGTTCAGGGCGTCGGAGGCATGTTAGGCGGATGGGCCGCCTATTGTGAGGTTGTCAAGGATATTGTGGTTACTGTAGGTATCTGCGTATCCTGAACACCTCGGATCCAGGACGTCAATCCCAGAATGCACGGAATGATGCTGCTTGAGTCAAAGAACAGAAAAAGTGAGTCACTGAAGACTGCGCCCGACGTTGATCTGGTGGGTGCCGTGGATACGCGGCGCTGTCCGATGCACCACGATATGTCGAGATGGAAACAGAGGAGAGTGAATCGAAGGATAATCATACACTAGAAGCCGAGAGGGAAATCGTTAAGAGGAGCACAGGAGATCTGTGGCACCCGATTGTGGTGTCTGCTGATGTGGTCGGACAGGCACTCGAGAGATGTGACTGGTCGCGCAGAGGGACGACGGACAGGGCTGTGGAAAGTGTTGAAGAGCAGCCACCAGCAAGAAGCAGTGAGTGAAAACGGCGTAGGTAGGCAGATTGAGGGCAGATTTCGGAGCTGCTGTGAGAGAAGTGGTTCGCGACCCAAGCATTGAAGTGCACCCGCGAGGAAACAGCCTGATGAATACAATGAATCGGAGGACGGCCAGCGGAAAAAGGCTCGCAGGCGCGCGGTGGGATCGAGGGACTTGGGTCAAAAGGAAGGTTTCGAGGCCGAGCAGACCGGAGAAGGCTTTGAGGAAAGTCAAGCAGATGATCGCAGTGACGGTTGGTGGTAAAGCGAGCGAAGGTGGTGGTGGAGGTGTTGTTTTTCCTTGTCTCGCGCAGGTGGAGGGATCAAGCCTCAGTTGGCCTCCTCTCGGGGGGGAAGATTGAGGTGGAGATGGAGATGGAAAGCCCACCAGGGCCCGTCCCTGAATGGTGAGCAAGTGAGCACAGCCATGTTGGTCGGCTGTTGGAGGTTTGGATGACACTACTTTTCAGCTCCCGCATTAGAGGTGTCGAGGCGCCCAGGGTTGATTCGACCCAAGCAGAGACGGACGGGGATGGTCACTGCAAGGACCCACGATATCATTCCACACAAGGCCCTGACAAGCCACAAGCCCGGTTCCCCCAAGCCGGTGAGCTCAATTAGGAGTATTCGTGCTCGCAGTGGGAGCTGTTGGACAATTTACTTGGTGATCCGTCTCGACCACGAGTATCGGGTCCATGGTACCACGGTGTACGAAGTGATGATAGATAATAATAATCAATAATACAGTTTACTCGGTATGATGCAAGGGACCTCCACTTGCTGCCTAACCAGCTAACCTTCTTCAAAGCAAAGCTTGAAGCAGCCATGGAGTCATGGAGCCTCGAGTATCCCACACTGAAGCAGCCTGCACAGCCCCGAATCAGCCTTACGAGCCCACAGGCCACTGAGCAGCCAGCACTGCCCTTTGGTCTTCGCTACAGGGATCATTAGAGCAGATCCCACTAGCCTGGGGCAGAATCATGGGCAGATTCTTGTCCCTTTCCCCTTGCCAGTGCCGTGGCCAGTGCGTGTCAGTCTGTCCAATCGCTGGCGCCAACTCCTCAGACTGCTCATAATATCTCTTCGTATCGAGAACTCAGGTCGGTGGGTCGCATGTATGAGTTTCCGTAAAAGTAACCACAATCCGCGCTTTCGGGCCAGGTGCAACTACTGACCTCTGGTTTGGAACAAGGTTTCTGTTGTACAATGCCTTCTACTTCACTCTTGCCATCCATTGTCTGCCATCAGCTCCCGACGCCTTGCTATGACCAGTGGCGAGTCTTGACACAGTGCGGTACCCTGAAGGTAGATGCAAGCTGCCATAGGTGGCATATTTGGTGGACCCGAGTCCCTCCCAACATCATCCACAGTCCTGGAGCATTCCCTGAAGATATGTGGTCGTATCCTGAGCGTGATATCGGCCGGACTCGATGTTCCTTCTGTCTTCAAGATCTTTGGAGACATGCTGGATCGGACAGCCACCCATTCGACCCGTACTTGACGCCACAGCTGGACTGCTGCCTTGGTAATCGAGCGGACCGCTTTTATCAACCCAGGAATGTACTCGGCTAATGTCATAGATTGTAATTTGTCGACAATCTCCTTGCTGACAGAGGTTGCGACCGTGCTCGCGGCTTTACGGCCATAGGAACTGGTGTAGAGAGCCCGCATCGTGATTGCTCTCCATATTGCTTCTCGATGGATGCTCTTCGCACAGATCATTTTCGACACCCTAGACAAGCACGTCTCCATACCAGACTCATCGCACTCGTCATGCGATGATGTGAACAAAAACGGCCGAAAGATCCTCTGATGTAGGACAGTGAATATCTGATTCTGAATGAAAAGGGAACGAAGCGTCCGAGCTACCGTCGTCGTGCCTGTCATATCAGGGAGACCGCTTAGTCGAGCTGCTCGCAACAGGAATTGATTCAAACATGGCTGGTCCCGGAAGAACTGCTCCGCAACATTTTCCACTGATATTGCCAGCGACTGGAATGCACTTACACTGCATTGACCTGTCAGCGGCGTGCGCCCGAAGAAACCCTAGAAACGAATGAGAATGATCATTGTCAGTGGCGCCACGGACCGCACTCACAAGAAGTTGTCACCCTTTCCTTTATTCGCACTTGTGTGGCCCAAGCTTCGCAAAATGCGCTCCATTCGCTCACTTTCTCGTTGCCATTGAGCTTGCTTTTCTCTCAAACAAAGTATAGATTCCGCCAATTCTGTATGGTGCTGATTGGTCATTTCAGTCGTGGTCTGAAGTGCCTGGTGAGCTTTCTGCGCAGTCGCCAATTCAGTCTTCAGGCTGTTATTGACGTTACGCTGCTCTTCAAGGTCATCCTGAAGGTCTTCGACCATAGACTGGAGGGCATTCAGTTCATCCTGGAGTTGCGATTCACGTTGCTTGTGGTTTGTGATCAGTTCTGACAATCGTCCTTCGGCTGCTTTGCGCAGTTGTCCAATCTCTTTCTGATGCCCTTCCCGCAGTGCAGTGATTTCATCTTTGTGCTTTTCCATAGCTTGAGCCAATTTCTGTGACAAATCCGCACACTCTTGCTTGTGCTGCTCTGCGGTCTCCTCCATGGCCTTCCGCTGCGCCTCCATGTGATTTTTGTGCAATTGCGTAGACTCGGCCAGCTCCTTGTGTTTGGTGGCCAAGGATTGTTCGTGCTCGGAAATGACTGCGCGCGCGGACTCCAGATCTCTTCTCTGCTGTGTATGCTTTGTTATCAGACCTGCCAGATCAAGTTGAAGTTTTGAAAGACCGGCCTTGTGTTCATTTAGTAATCTGACATGAATGTCCTCTTTGTCCGCCATTTGCTTTTCATGGGCTTGAATCAAGTCAGTCTGTGAGCGCTTATGCTGCATCCGTTCGTCATCAAGCTGCTTCTTGACAGCTTCGATCTGGTCCTCAAGGTCAACCTTGGTTGCAGTCAGCTGCTCATTTATAGTCCGACTGTTCTCGACCTCATTCTCAAAGGTCCTGCATTTCAGCGTCAGATTGTTAGCTATCTCCTCATTCGCCCTCGCAAGCTCCCGTGAAGATGCCTCAAGATGTAAAATCTTTTCCCCTTGTTCCGTAATTTCGTTTTTCAGCTTCAGGTTTTCACGAGCTTGCTCTCCTATGATGCGCTCGTATTCTTCTTTGGACGCGCTCAGTTCAATTCTTAGCTTCGCAATCTCCTCATTGTGCTGCGATTCAGCTTGCTTGACGAGATGATCCTTCTCGGATAGAAGCCCTTGACTTTCCTGGTAGTAGTGCAGTAAGCGATTGATGTCAGGAAGGACGCTTGAGACTTTCTCAAGCAGTTTCGTGCGCTCATCATCAGGTGCTGCAGAGCCGGATCGAGACACAGCATCTGGATAGGGAAAAGGCCCAGGAGGGGCAGGGAAGGGTGGTGGGTAGAACGCGAGTTGGAGATTAGGGTTAGCTACGAACGGATGGGGATAGTGATATGGGAAGGGTGGTGGGAATGGCACACCCTGTGGTGGCGGACTACCAGCAGGTTGCTGGAGAAAGGGTGACAATGGAGGCGAAGCTAAGGGCGAGCGGCCGTGAGGTGGGTACCCATGAAGATAGGTCCCGTCAGTAGGTAACGGAGGGCTCGACATGAAAGGCATGTCTCCCTCCGTGGAATCCGCAAGATGTTGGCCAAATGTAGGTTGTATAAAGACTACCGGGCCTTGTGGAGTTGGCGCAACCAGTGGGTCATGAGGATATGGCGCTGGGCTTGTGCCCATTGGTGCAGCTATGGGTTCGTGCAAAGATGATTTGGACCTTTTTGGAGACCCGAGGATCGTTTCTCCCCGTAGTGGCGACTTGGAACCCTTCGCCAATGGCTCTACAACATCAGTAGAACAGGGAGCTAATATGGGCACCGGGGGGAATGGCGATGTGATTTGGGTAGGCACGATGTCCTGAGGCTCTTCGGAAACAGCTGGCTGCATCGATGCAAGCGATCTCGACGACAAGCTCTTCTGCCGAAGACCTTGTGAGGTTTGCAGAAGCTCCACATCTCTTGTAGGGGATCCCATAATCTCGACAGCCTCGGGAACAGCGGTCATCGAGGATTTCGTAGGTGAGAGAGGACGCGCATCTGATATAGATGTATCCGGTCGGTCATGGGACCCATTGATGATATGTGGTTTCACCTTGGTTGGCGAACTCGGGGAATGAATTGTGTCATCCTCCATTCTTGACGAGATACTCTTGTCGGATCGCAAGGAGAGGGCAGGATGTCTAGATGTAACCACCACAGGATCCGACCACTTTGAGTCGTGCGTCCTTTGCCGGTGGAAATAGATAGCCGGGGAATTCGAACGGCTATTCCTTGGAATAGAGACCTCATCAAGAGTCCTTGACAGCGTCTTGGAAAGCTTTGCAGACGCCGAACTCGAGGCTCGACTGCGAGTCTGCTTCTCAGAAGTATCGCTGAAGCTCCCAGGCCTACCCCGGGGTCTGGCATTTGTGAGATATGCAGACGTCGACATTGTGGTGAAGCGAGAGAATAAATAGAAGAAGAAATAGATGCTTTTCTGATCACCCTACTTTCGGAAGCGAAACCAAAGTGCCCTCGGCCTAAAAATCTTTTCTGTCTTGCAGGTATTCAGGGCGTCCAGTGAGGCAGAGACAACAAATATACCGGTACATTATTGACACACAACGCGAAAATAGCGACAAAACAAGTCTAGAATGTGAGAATCAGAAGATCATGGTGAAAGGAAAAGGTCATTTGAGTCATAAAAACACTTAACTGTGGGAAGCAAGGTCAGCATCAAGCGCTATGGTCGTCTCAAGACTGGGCGTCAACGGTTGGAGAATGGGAGGTTGCTGCCCGACCAAAGTGACGACAAGTCGGTCTGGAAGCACTCCGCATAATAATCGACCGGACTGCATGAACCAAAGTACCCTCGCCTCTGGGTCGAGGAGCATTGATAGGACGCTGGCCACTGAAGCGAAGGTCGTGTCAAAGTGCGATTGGTGTAGGAAGTTGGGAGGATGTTGAGATTGGATGTGCGAGGGCCGGATAAATAGACGGGCCGATATTTCTTGGCGTCATAGAGCTTTGAACGTATAACCGCAGTTTGACAGCCGATGAACATGAAGTACAGTACATTGCAGAACACTCCCTCGTGACCCCCTTCTATCGCTGCAGCATCCGCCGTCATGTCTTTTGTCTCTCGAGGGGCGAGAGCTGCAGCTCGTCCCTGGAGACGTGCAATCCAACAACGTCCACAACGCAGATTTGCTGGACATGAAGCTGGCCACGGCCACGGAGACGCACATCATCATTCTTCTGGAGAGAGCGCTCTCCACGTCGCAGGTGGATCGGGACATGAAGGATTCGGCGTGAGCAGGAGACTCCCTTCAAAGATTTGATGAGGACGTGCGAAAACTGACCACTTCCCGGGTGAACAGAGGGGATTCTACATTGCCATTGGCTCCGTCCCCTTCGCAATTCTCGTCTACTCAATCGCCAGCTCTCCCGGCGACAATGCCCTCACCCGTCTGGTGCGGCAATATGACGCGGGCAAAGAGGTGTTGTTGAGAAAGGATGCAATACACACGACCATGATGGAGCAGGCAGCGGCGGATAGGCAGTTGTTCGCTGCGACACCCACAGATCCCGCGGGTCCTCCTCTGCGACATCAAGAGTACGTACACCCTCTCTGCGGATGACCGCAATCTTAGCATCAGTGTTACTAAACCGGATATCCAGATCTTTCAACTTCGGGTCCCCTTGGAACGTTTCCGCTGGACAAGGCACGGCAGATCTCACGGCGTTGGCTAAATACTACGAAGGGAGACATAAAGAAGTGGAGCAAGAGCGGGTAGAGAGGCTCAAGAAACAGAAGGGATCCATTTACGACTCATAAGCAAGAGTGCCTCCTAGGGAATTTTTTGGGTCGTGGCATTGTACATAAGGAAAGGCTTCCTCCGGTCTGCCGTGGCTGTCTCACAGTACACGAGTATACAAGGGTGACCACAAGCAATGAAGCATCATCATATGACGATTCGTGTTCGTCCTAGCGTGTACTACTGTAGTTGCGTTTCTACAGATCCTTTCCGGGCGAGTTAGCCTTCCCTGGAAGCTTCCTCACCATGCAACGATTGTCAAAAGCTCTTTATAGATTTTGTTTCGGCACTTGCGTCGGGCCAGGCTCCCCAATGAGGGCGAGAAAGGATGCATGCACCTCTTCCGTAAGATCGCTTGCCTGCAAACTTCTCTGGTTCTTCACAAAAGCTCTCCGCGAACACTCTCTCGTGATGGCGCTCCCGCCGAACGCCGCCAACAAAAGCGTTTCCTCTCGACTCATCTCCTCCCCGATGTCCCAGAGCTTCTCGTGATAAGCTTCCCGCCACGCTAGCAACGTGCCTAACGAACCCGTCAAGGTATCACCCTGTCCACCGGAGCGCTTCAGACCACCTTGGAACTCGGAGACAGTGGTATCGATACCTTGCGAGATGTAGTCGACTGGGCCCTTTTGAATAATGCAGACTCCGCCGAGTATCTTGGAAAGCTCCTGGCATGCCTTCTCGGGGTCTCCGGTGTTCTGGTCCATGCCGACGGACTTGGCTAGACGTCCAAACTCAATCACATTGGGGGTAAGAATGCATTCCTTGTGGCCCCGGATCAGGTCCGGATCTGTCTGAACTAGCAGGAGGGCATCTGCATCCAGCACCATAGGGACGGGGGGATTGTGTTTCTTAGCTGCGGCGATGACTGCCTTGACCTGCTTTTGCGTCACGGTATCTCTACCCAGACCGGGCCCAATGACCAGCACGTGCAACCTGGGCAACATATCCAATATTGGTTTGGCGAGCTCCTCTCCCGAAGGATCCTGCTCTTTCTGCGCCTGGGATATGGAGGCCGTAGACCTGAGGATCGGGGACACCATCAAATTTGGCGAGTACGACTTGATGGTCGGGGCAGCCGAAGGTTCGCAGAAGACGTAGGACATGTCACAACCCAGCCGCGCAGAGGCCATGGCGGAGAAATATGGAGCCCCCGTGTAGTCTGCACTGCCACCGATGACGGCGACTCGACCAAGCTGACCTTTGTGGAATCTCTCCAGCATGGGAGGCACCAGCTTGTGGACTTTGCCCAGCATCGAACGCGCCGGCGCGGACATGTTGATCGCAGAGCTGGGATCTTCCGAATTCGGACTCATTTGATGAGAGTGAGGTTAGTAAGGAGACAGAAACAGGAGAACGCTCTGACTGTTTGGGAACGAAGTAGGCGAATGGCCCCGAGTAGCTTTCAGTTCAGGTAGATTGATTGCCGTGTTGTGTTGTTTCTATTTTGTTTTTCCAATTGTTAGATGGGGTGATGTCACCTACTGCACATGCGTCACGATTAATGCAGACGGATGCAGTCTCCGAAGCGAGCAATGGACCTGACCAAAGCTCATCCTTGCGTCTACTTGATACAACTAGGATATCAGGGGTGCATGGAGCAGGGACGTCGTATTTAATGGTCTTCGATTGCTTCATACTGACAGACGGCCTCCAAGAACACATCCAGGTGCCAGACTTTTGAAGTTAACATGTACCCAGGACTGAAGCAAGAGAATCTCACCAGAAAGGAGTTATAACACGTCTCAGAACGCATATCTGCATGATTTCTATCTTCGTGAAGTAGCTCGAGGTATTTACAGCTTCCGTATCTGGGTGGCACGGGTCCTCCCCGTCACATCCTATCATGAAGCCGCTCAGGGTAGTACTATGCTGCTGCAGTCACCTCGATGTAATGGCTAGCAAGGCTAACAATCTGCTCCTCAAAATTCTTGAACTTGATGCCGAATACTTCCTCGGTTTTGCTTGCATCAAATGGCATTGGCAATGAGGGCTGACTGCCACCGAGTGGAAACACTCCTTGTTCCACAGCCTGAGGGAAATGTTTCTTTACAATGTCGATAGCATCGTCCCATTTGACGCCATTCACGTCGTAGTTGACTCCAAAGTTCTGGTTTCCTTGGATTGTAGAGTCCAAGGAGGCAACATGGACGTAAGCAACATCATCGACGTGACATGTAGCCCCCGGCATTCCATTGGGATTTTGCGTCCCTAGAAGCGAAATCAATGCAAGGGCGTTAGATCCAGAGTTAACCGCTGCCGGAGTAGTGGCAAGCTCGTTCTTGCCAATGACGAAGGTAGGCATGATGTTGACCACGGTGAAATGGGGTTTTTCCTCGCTGATGAAATCTCGGGTGCGATTGTAGGCGAGTTTCTTGCTGGCCGCATAGGCTGCGAAAGTATGAGGATATGGTCCATGGGGGTCTGGTTCGACATTCTCAGCCGTGTAAACTCGGGCATCTGGTGGAGACACGGCTGCCACGGAGGAGGTGATGACGACTCGTTGGATCGAGGGCTCTTTGAGAGCCGACCGAAGGATGCTCAGCGTACCCCTGATGGCAGGTCTGATAATGTTGACCTCGTCGTCCTCGGAAGGTCGTGCCAAAGGCGACGCAACGTGGACAACATAATCCACATCCTTGACAGCTTGGTCAAAGGCGCCATCCTTCTCAATGTCGGGCACTATGGAGAAGGAAATCTGATTCAAGTATGGCTCGGTGGACTTGGCAGCCTTGATCTCAGCAGCTTTGCTTTCAGAGCGAACCGCAGCTCGAACTCTGTAGCCTTTGGAAAGAGCCTCGACCAGTGTACGATAACCGATATGGCCTGAGCTGCCGGTCAGAAGGATGAGCTGGGCAGACATGTCGGAAATTTTGTCTCCGAGAACGTGGCAACGAAAGAATCAAAGGCAGTATCGAATGCTTTGGACTTGTCTCGGGAATCGACTTGAAGACTAAAGGAAGAATTCAGAGAACACGAATCCCTTCATTTATAGTCCTTGTCAACGCACAACTTGATCTTACCTCACCTCTTCAATGCTCTCTCCTATGCCTAAACACAAGGCATATCCTCTTGAGACAAATCCACTTTGAGTAATCATTATATTTGTCGAGTGTCTAATGGGTTTTGTGGCTAGGAGAATTGTGCTGTATCAGGATAAAGTACTCGTATACCAAGAGAGTAGGTACGAGTAGACAGTGTTCAAGCCAGCATTCGACAAATCGGAGCGGCAAGACCCATGTCCAATTGATTTGTGGCCTTTGGCCGGGCTGATATTCGGTTGATGCATGTTGATGATCCCGATTGCCTGTTTGCGACTAGAGAAGGATCGACGCAAACTTGAGTAGCAGGATGGTTACTCATCGGAAACAAGGAAGTTGTGGAGGTGGTTGCCACCCAGTTGCAGTTCTCCACGACGCTGACGGCGAGTTCCAAGCAGAGGGTTTTCGGTGCCAGCGGTCTGTCAGCTCTTGATTGTGTGTGAGAAGCTCTTTGAGGTGGACCCGTTGTTATCTCCGCTTGCGCTCGGTGATTTCGCTAGGGTAGAGCAAGAAAGCCAATTTGTACTTCCGCTTACCAACCGCAGTCAGCGTCTCTGGTGAGTGAAACGACGACTGTGCCACCATCCCCTTCTTTGTTGAATACTAAACACACCTAGCCACTGAATGTGGCGCATACTTCCCGTCTTCGTCAACGGCCGTACTGTTACTCCTTACGTTCATCGCCCGACATGCTTCAGCAACGGGATATAGCCCAGCTAAGAGCTTTTCATGCTACCCATTTTGCCACTCAGCCAGTCCCAGACCTGATGACTTATCCGCTGAACGCTCCAGGCCAGACTGAGCCCAGCCATGACGCTGCTATCGACGACGACAACCACGACGAGGGCAGCTTGGGTTATTACGACGATGGCGTCAAGAGGACATTGACGGATAGCCAGATCAAGATGTTCCGCCACTCCGAGATTCAGCGGCTGCTGAGTGAGAGAAGAGTGGCTAGAGCGAAGGAAGAAGCGAAAGCAAAGTCGAAAGAATGTAACAACAGCAGTAGCAATGGCCGCGAATCGAGGAAACGGCGATTCGAAGACGAGCCAGCACCATCTCATTCCCATGTTGAAACTTTGACCTACGACGAAGAGCCAGAAACCGAGAAAGCATTAGTGACAACTACAAAGAAATTTCTGTGGCCAGTTCTCGGGCAGGTTTCTAAGTGACTTACGGTATCATGCCGCTTTTCCTCCTCGCATTTCCAGGTCATCGATACTCGTTTACATACCTTGGAAGGCTCAGAAGTGCTACAAAATTTACGACGATAAAAGCTCTGGAACACGACTTGGTACGTAAACATTACTTTTTGATTCATCCTTTGATTCATCCATGTCTTAGATGATGAGTTCTTGTATCATCCTTAGTCTGAAGCGGGCGTCGGAAGCAGCCTCGGCCTTGCTCGATGATTGCTTTCGACAGCAAACCCCGCCTTGCTGAATCAATCTTCTCTCTGATCGTGATATCTGCCTCCAGTAAAGATCATGAATATAATCTAGGACCGCCGCTGACTGTTTGGCTCGAGGAGACCCTCTCATCATTTGCGATGACAAGCCCTTTTAGGTGATTTTGAAGATGGGCCTGCAGGCTCCGTTGGTGCTTTCCGCTTGGGGGCTCTGGTGTCGTGGCCCGTGGGCCGTCGTTCTGGTTGCCCCTCAGGGATGTTTGGCTGTCCTGGCCCATTTCCCCCCGAGTTATTGCTTGACTGTGTTCCGAAGGACAAAGAAGCCTGTGGGCTTCCTTCAAGCCCTCCGTCGACCGGTGAACGAGGCAAACATAGACCAACACCAACAAGGTCTGTTTCACTCGAAGTAACATGATCGATCTGCATGTTACGATCAGAGTTCTCGAAGCTGTCACTGCTACTGCCACCACCACCGCCACCCGTACTGTGGTCGTCGCCTGGCTCGATCGAGGTATTCCTCGAGCACACTGCATTCCATCGTCAATCTAGACAGCCGAGAGAGAAGGGACAGACTTCCACCCACCATGAGACCAGTCGTCTTTTTGAGTATCACCATCTCCCCCGATATTCTGTACCGGTTCCTCCTGATCACGGTGCTTAACATTCAGTCGGACGGGCTCCATTTTGGGCAATGCAGAATAAATTGTTGCTGAACTAGACGTCTGTTGAGCGTGGACATGGAAGTGTGAGGGATCATTACTGCGGCTGGGCTGCTCATTTTATACTTGAACAACTCCTAATTACCCAGACTCTCACTCCTCTCTTCTTGAACAAGAATCCACACAACGGATTCCAGTAATACACCACTAATTTCTCTTCGTGTGCTCATCACACCGCTACATCAAAACACGATAAGAGTCTACGCCATGCCGACAGACAGCAAGTGAATATGCCAGCCACGCGTGGGCCTTCGGGTGCGTGGACCTTCAGGTGCGTGGGCCTACGCTACTGCATTTCTGCACGTTCCGGTGCCTGTCGCCTTAAGGCGCATCTTACCCCCAGCAGTTTTCGTTGGCGTTGTTCCCCCTATGGTTTCCATTGACACGAGGATATTTCAGACCCAGAAGAACTTCTAGGCCCTTCAGGGGTCCATCTTGTGGTCAAGCCACCGACCGAGCATCGAGAAGTCGAGGCTCCTGAACCACCTCTTGTGGTTACCAGACATGTCTGCCGTCATCACAGTAGCTTTGTGGTCTACCATCTCAGCCTTTTCGTCTATTGGATGGTGGAGCCTGACAGTCCGGATTAGCTAGCTAACAAGGACAGCGTTACAGAAGAAAGCCTCCCCGGCCGACTAGTTTCGGGTCACTTCGTCAAACCTTACGCATGTTCTAACGAGGAGGGACGTGTCCCGTTTCGCCCGGATTTTCTGTCTAGGATGTTGTTTGCTCTCTGTGTTGGCCTCGTAGCGCCACCTCATGCGAACTATCGTGAATCCTCTACAGAAATACCGGCTAGGCTTCCTGGGCCCCTGCTAGATGAGTTGGTCACTGTGACGAGGTTGGGAAGCTTCTCATCGGCCGCAGCAAGAAGGTGATGGGCCCACCTCCCCTACAAACATCTTCGAAGTGGCCGGAGATCGGGCCGCCCCTGGTGCCCAAACCTTACAAACCTGCCTGGCGAAATAGGTCGTTTTGTGGCTAAGTGGAATTTGGCTCTGGCCTCAACGGCTTATGGGACGAGACCACCTTTTCATCCCCGCTCGTTCGCCCGACTAAAGTTACAATATCAGTGTTACAGAGGTTGAACGTTGAACGGGTCATAGTGGTGGCTTCACGATCCTAGCTCCTCGCGATGGAAAGAAATAGAGGCGGTGAACAATGGAATGAGAAGCGCATGCGGCCAGCTGCCAGCACACGTCGATCCAGGTTGCTGCCACGAGGATACAACCCCCTTTTCCCAGGACCGGTGTACTGGTTCATGGTGTCATACCATCAAGCGACTCGAATCAGTCACGACAACCCGGGGATCTACCATGCCAGAAGCAACGTCTCTCCTGATTGAAGGATATAAGGTTGAGAAAGGCGAGGAGAAGCGCCGCGCCCATGCGTTAGGCGGACCGGGATGTCACCCGTTGGTGTGGATTAGCCCTAAATGGTCACTCTGAGGAATGCTATGTACGAGTTAGAGGTACCCGCATCGCCGATGGCTGCATGAATGACTGGTGAGTAATGCTGGAATACTCGACTGCCTGCGACATTTCCAGCTACACAGCCCTATATAGCGCGACATGGTCGAGTCCAATACACTTCCTTTGCTGAGCACAGACTGCGACGGCTTGAAAACTCCGTCACCCGGTTTGCTGGTGGGTGGGGAGGGAGTTGATCAGGAAACCTGGCCTGCATTATCACAGGCGTCGCCTTGATCCTGAAGGTGGAAATTTGTTGGTTATTTCTGTCTCGAAGACGGCTGTTCCCATCGGACCCTCGTGAGCCGAAGAAGCACACAGTGATGTCTTTTCCCTGGCCGATTGAGGGGGCGCGCCCACCTCTCGAGGAACTTCCCGCAGATTCCCTTGGCCTCCTCCGAGACCTGTTGGCTGCCTGTTGCCACTCCGCGGTAGCCCGGCGGTCGTGCCAGAGTGCAGATAAAGTCTCTGCTTCGAATTCCTGCACCGGGCTGAGGCAGAACGCAGCATAGCCCTTCCTCCTTGTCCACCCGTCGTATCGCACGAGTTTGAACGCTTTTCCTTATGCGACGTCGCACTTCAGGAGCAAGTCTTGCAGACCAACTCGTTTGTGTGCGCAGGTATCTCCATGAGACGCCTCAGCGGGTCCAGCTGCCGTATCCTTGCAAGCATCCATGACTTGAAAAGTTAGGAATTAGAGCCCCTAGCTGAGTTGAGTCTCTTGCCACCAAAGCGTGACTCGGCATCACACACTCTTACAATGCTCTTGAACACAGTAACACATCACACATACTTTCCTCTTCTCTACAGCCGCCACAAGATGCTATGAATTCTGCAGACATGCAACCTATTCCCTTTCGAACTCTGATATACTTCTGCCCTACATGATGCAGACCCCCCCTTTTCCTTAACCACTTCACCATCACCACCATCCTACCACCGCACTTTGAACAAATATCACTCAAGGCTACAATATCAACGAGCAGCGTGCCTACATCTGAAATCCAGAATGATACAGCAGGAAAAAGAAGGACAAAGGAGGGAAGATTGGAAAAAGGAGGCATAAGGCTCACCAGATCCCGGTTTCAAACCAGGGGCGATTTGTGTTCTCCCATCACAGTCAATGGACTTTGATGGCGAGGGACAAGTAGTTATTGACTGCTACAGCAGACTGGTATACCGATCTTGTGTTTTTGGATTGTGACTGAGGAATCTGAGTCTGGGACTCCTGCTCATGTCGCACGGTTTCAGAACGAGCCCTGTTGTTGACAACTTGTTGTTGCTGAGTTCCCTGAACACTGTGACCCTTTGTCGTTGTCCTTCTCTTTGCTGAATAGCCTTCACGACGCGTCAAACTAAGAAAATCTCTCTAGATGATACGATCCTACAATCGCTTTCTCTTCTCGACTGCAAGTGCGCACTCCTCACAGACGGAGGAGACAGCAAAATTTGTCGCACAAACAATCCCCTCTGTTGTTGATACCAGATCAACAAACACACCAGACCACTCGCCGACACTCTAGATCTACCCGTCGACTATGATATCTTCGAGGATCTTATTTTGGAACACCATGGATAGGCGTGGATTAAAAGAGCAGGTTGCCAATGGTAGAGCATGGCTTATTCACAAACAAGCCCTCGTCACGGAACCGTGGCGCAGAAAGAAACATTCATAGCGGCAGTGATGTTCCCGTGATAAAGTTCGACAGCACAGAGAAAGCTTTCCAGGTCCATGGATCTTCTTCCCTTTGCTGGGAGACGACAAGGCCGAAATCCCATACAAGCGCGCCGTTTTGATACAGACTTCGAGCTAGTCCGCCCTGCAGGAGCTAACTCCACAGCGCGATATACGCTAAACTCATGTTATCAGATCCACGTCGGCTAGCTATAGAGAGCTGCACGCTCAACGAGCTGTTCTATTGTCTAATTTTGCGAACCTCACAAGGGCCGTCGGGCGAGCGGAAACCCTGTTAAGCCATAACCTGCGCTGAAAAGACTACTCTCACCTTTGGGAGATGCGCTCATTGTCGGGCCCGTTGGATATCGTGTCCGAGAATTCGAGTCAATGCAGCGAGTGCACCTCAGACTCGAGAGCGTGACCAAAGCTTAACGCTCAAAATGCTACAGAGGCATACATTTCCCTAACTAGGATCTCTAAACAAAACCTGAGGGATGACCCCTTTCTGTCAGACGTCAGGGCATTCACTCATTCTCTACTGGTGAGTTCGTTGACCCAGGAATTATCTCCTGTGAGCAGAGTTTAGGGCTATTGCCATCTGAGGATCAACAATTCGGAAGCTAAAAGTTGACCACTGAAGTGCACAGAGCAAAGCTCTAGCGAGGGTCTAGGCTCTTTGCGCCAACAATGCAAGGGGAAATGAAGATGAAAAAGAAACAAAAAAAGAAACCCTTGGGTGCCGAGGGCCCCATTATCCTTGTGTTGATTCGTTTCATTGTATGCGTATTTTCTTTGGCTGCTCAGGTTTGTTGCGTTCTTTTGTTTTTGTTTTTGTGTTTTTCTGATAGGGGAGTCATGCAAGGCTGCAGAGTTTGATACTGCATCTTCTGCCCCCTTTCAAAAGAGGCGTACCAGTGAGGCGCTGGCGCCGCTTCAGGCAACCCAGGCGAATGACTTGCAGACGACGGCGCCTCGGTACGGTAAAGCACCTACTCGTAAAGGGGATCGGGGACCCGTCAGGGGATGAGCAGAGGATGTCTCTCTCTCTCTCTCTCTCTCTCTGTCTCTCATGCTCTCAGCGGCTGTCCAGAGATCGACCGAGAAGAAAGAAAGATGGGTAACTTAGTCGGTGGCTTTCTCCTCCTCCTTGCTGCCTTTGTTTCTTCCCCGTCCCCTTCTCCGCTCCGCCTGCCTTGGCCACAGGTTCTGGTGGTCCCTGAACCCGTTTTCCTTCCCTCGCCACAGAGCGTCGGGACTCCTCCCACCCCGCCGCCGCGCCTCAGTCCCTGCAGAAGCCCACCAACGTTCGGGTCCCGAATGGAGTTCCCGGTTCCTGCATCGCCGAGAGGCTACAAAAGTCGCGGGGGCAGCTTCTCACGGGATGGCCTGGGCGCGGCGCGTCTCCGTCACAAAGGATTTTTCCCCAATTTGTACAGTCCCGGAGGCGGTTGGTGGCGGCGTCGTGGGAGTTATGTATATACATGACTCGTACATATGAACGTGTATGTATGCGTCCTTCTTGACCTGATTTTCAATTCCCCCATCCTCCTGGTGGATGAAGTGGTCGGGATTCCAGTCAGATCGTTAGACTCTGGGACTTGCTTCTCTCGATACACGACGGGCTGCTGCCTCTCAGACGAGTGCTGCCATTACCATTGCCATTGTCAGTTTCTCCTGATGCATTGTGCACTAGGTACTTACTTACCGCGAGGCACAGCAGGACGAGGAGCGGCCGTGATTGTGATGGCATGGGATGTGTGAACTTCGAAGACACTGGCCATCTCAACTGGTACATGCACACTTAATGTACACTAATATTAACCTTGACATCTACAAGTCTCCATCCATCCATGCATCCATCCACGTTTCAATCCAACGAATATATCGGAGCCTGCTTGTTTGGTGCGGTGTCTCTTCTCTTCTCTTCTCTGCCAGTCTCTTTCGACCCGTCTACCCTGTGCAGTGTATGTGTGTCTGTATGTCTACATGTACGTCGCTCGTACTTGGCTAACTACTCTACGCACATCATCATCTATTGTCATTATCATCACCATCAACATCACCGTCGAGTCGACAATGAGGACGTCTGCGAAGAACCCTACTTTGAAAAGAATAGAGCAATACATAAAGAGCGGCACGAGAGACAAAAGTTGTAGCTAGTAATCTCAGGTTCTGAGCTAAAAAAAGAAAACACGGGTTTTGTGACCAAGCTACAAACGACAGACGACATCCGACACACGCACATCGAAGTCGAGAAGTGCTGGGGAACGGGTGGAAGGATCGATCAGGCTGGCTGGCCGGCTTTGTGTGGATTGGATTTTCCCAGTGTTTTTTTTTTTCTCTTTCTTGGTTCTCTTTTTCTTCAATGCGTATGCTGTGGAAGACATACTTATGTCGCGTGTTTGTTCCTGGTTGGATGGATATTTCCCATAGGAAGTTTTTCTTTCAATCCACACAATCACAATCCCATTTGTAGCTTGCACGAACCCATTAGCTCAGATTATGAAATTAACAGAGAAGATGATTTCTTCTGTGCAGTGCGACAGCATCCTCCACCCCATTTTCAGTGCCAGACGCGGAATTAATCTTCTTCTCCCCTGGACAATCATCCTACATCTACTCCTCTGTGAAATAGTTAGCAACAAATCTTCGGTAACAATCGATCGGGGTCAGAACTAACCTTCTTCCTCTCCAGTGGCCTTGCTGCCCAACACCCATTTCGACTTGCCATGCGCATCAGTCTCGTGCTCAAGAGCGACACGGCTGAGGTGGGAAATGATGTTCTCCATAGTGGTATCGGCGTGGCTGCGGGTAGCACGGCCGAGGTTGTCAATCCATTTCAAGCTGGTCAAAATGTAGTAGACGATAGCAACCACGATAGTGACACCGATCGAGTAGCCCCAGATGACGACCACAGTGACAATCGAAGTATCGCGGCTGTAGTTGTCCCGAGTGAAGGCATCGATCGGGGTGGTGAAGAGTTCGTCCCTGCCACCAGCAAGCCAGCCAAAGACACAGAACAGGGTGGAGAGAACGTCGACACCGAAGATGGCACCAACCAACTTCCAGGATGGCCAAGTTTGTCCTCCGCGAGTGACAAAGATGAGCCAGTTCTCAACCAATGAGACTTGAAGGAAGAGCATGAGTTGGACATTGCCAAAGTTCTGCACGAGACCACCAGATGGTAGGTAGAAGGAACCACGCATGATCCAGGTTGAAAGAGCCAAGAGGAAGCCAAGGAAGACCGAAATCACCCAAATCTTGGGCAATTGCCATTCAACGGGTCGCTGTTCGTAGTGGGCATTGTCGTAGGCGACGGCAATGGTGGCCAAATCGGCAAACAAGGCCAAAAAGACGACCAAGTCGGTTCTGATAGTTTCGTTGATGATGATCATGGAAGTGGTCAAGTACACTTCCAGGTGCAAGCAAAGAGCGATACGGTATTGGACGTAGGCCTTCATTCTCTGGAAAATTTGACGTGCGACCTTGATAGCATCGACAATAGTGCTGAGACCGGGGGCCAAGAACACGATGTCGGCGGCAGCTTGGGCAGCTTCGGTTGCACCTTCGACAGCAATACCGCAGTCAGACTTCTTGAGCGAGGGAGCATCGTTGACACCATCACCAGTCATGGCAGTCAAGTGACCACGTTGCTGCAACATCTCGACGACCTGGTATTTGTGCTCAGGGAACACTTCGGCGAAACCGTCGGCTTTCTCGACAAGGTCATACTGGGTAGAGCCGGCGACACCACCGGCAATGAGGCGCTGAGAGTTGTAGACCTTGGTACCAAGAGCGAGAAGTTTGCAAGTTTCCTTGGCGATGGCGATGGCGTCACCAGTCAACATCTTGACGCTGAGACCGAGGTTTTGAGCTTCCAAGATGGTGTGGGCGGTATCCTCACGAGGAGGGTCGAACATGGGCAACATGCCAATGACTTTCCATGGCTCGTCTCCGCGCTTGGACGCAACACCGAGAGATCGGAAACCACGGCGGGCAAAGTCGGCCGCAGTGTCGCGGTAGTGTTTAGCAGTAGCTTCGTCACATTCGGCAATGGACAGGACAGCCTTGGGGGCACCCTTGCAGAAAGACCACTTCTCACCCTTGAGTGTGCAGATGGTGGTGATACGCTTGGAGACAGGGTCAAAGGGCATGAATTTCTCGGTCTTCCAGCCTTGTTGCAAGATTTCACGTGCCTTGGGGTATCTCTTGAGGGTCAGGATGGTGATCTTGTCGATGGGGTCAAGAGCCTTCAAGTTGTGAGAGGACGCGAGCGCAGCCGAGGCCATGAGCCAGTTGACATCTTCGCCCTCTGCGACGTAGGGCTCACGAATGGTCAATTGGTTGGCAGTCAAAGTACCAGTCTTATCAGAGCAGAGCACATCGACACCCTGGAGAGTTTGTTAGTTGCACTGCTAGGGAGAATTTGGGAAATGAGCGACTTACAGCCAATGACTCGATGGCAGTGAGTTTCTGCACAATAGCCTTTTGTTTGGCAAGGTACGCAGCTCCGACGGCGAGAGTGGTGGTGGTCACGACGGGGAGACCGACAGGAACACCAACGATGAGAAGAATAAGAGCGTAGTGGAGCAAGTTGACGGAGCTGTCCTCGGGGGTCGCAATGGGAATGTTGTGGAAGAAACCACCGATCCATGCTGCCAGGATGAAGAAGACGACCAAGACGAGGAGAGCTGTGCCGATCGAGTCCATGACGGCTTTGAAGTGACCTTGGTCGGTAGCGCCCTGGACGAGAGACGCGGTCTTGCCGACGAAAGAGCCGCGAGCAGATTCAGTGACGACGGCGTAGGCCTTGCCTCGCTTGCAGCCGGTAGTGTAGTAGCAGATATCACCCATGTACTTGTCCACGGCCAAAGACTCGCCAGTAATGGCAGACTGGTCGGTGGCAACAATTGAATGGCCAATGTGGTGTTCCTCGTCATCGTCCGAGTCGGTGTGATTTTTTGAGTGATATTGTTCTGGGTCGCTGACCATTTCCTTGTATTCCTCGAAACCAGCTGGGTTATCGAAGTCGCAGATCAGTCGGCATTCGCCGGCAACAACGGAACCTTCTTCGAGAATAAGCTAGGCGAGAATGTCAGTACAATCAGTCGAGCGAGGATCACGAGAAACTCACAATGTCACCAGGAACAATTTCGCGAGCCTTGATTTCTTGGATTTGGCCGTCACGGACAACCTCAGCCTTCATGGCGATGTCACCCTTCAAACTAGCGACGACATCGGCAGCTTGCTTCTCCTGGTACCAACCGACGATGGCGTTCAGCATCAAGATACCAATGATGACACCGAAATCGATCCAATCACGCAGACCAGCAGCGAGAAGGACAGCCAGCTCCATGACTAAGACAGCGTCAGCAATCTGGACGGCTACTCACACGAGGGCAGAATGTATGGGGGCTGTACCGTAGAGAATGGGACCTCTGAAGTAGCCGATGAACTTGAGAAGCATGTTCTCCTTCTCTGTCGCCAACTCATTGTAGCCGCATTTTCTTCGTCGAGCCTCGACCTCAGCAGAGGTCAGACCGGTCTTGATGTCTGTGTTGAGCCATTCCTCGGGGACCTCGTAAAGCTCGCCTGGTCCACCAGTGATGCCAAACATTCTCTTGTAGAAGGGGATCTTCTTGGCCTTGGTGGCGTCGGCGACATCGTCGCCGGAAACTTGAGAGGGAGCTTTGGAGAAGCGACGATCTCGGTAGGTAGAAATGTATCGGATGAGGTTGGCGTACTCGCCCTCATCCTTATCGGGATCCCATCCGTCGGCGAAGGAGATTCTCTCGCGCTTCGGGTCACCGTTCTCGAGGTCCTTGTTTTCCTTTTCCGCCATGGTTCACTGTATGGAGTGGAGAGGTTAGTATGCAGGAAAAGAAAACAAAGAAAGAAGAAAAAGGGACGGCGACAACAAGGTCAGGCGTAAAGACCAAGCTGGAGGAAAGAGAGGGAACAGGATTCTGGAGCTCGCAGCGTGCAACCCCTCTTTAAAGGTAAAAGCAGTTCACCAGATGCGAGCGAAAAAAGAGCAGCCAGCTTCTGATGATGGACCATAAACTCACCTCGACAGGTCCGCACGGATGTGAATGTTGACTGGAGGGTTTGCAGGGAACGAGGGCTCCACCAGCGATCCGTCAAGCCGTCAAGCTGCGATAGCTCGGACAAGGTCCTAGGCGTGGAACCTGGTTGGCTGCTTAAGCTTTCCCTGAGCTTGAGGTCAGCGAGCATGCCGTGTGAGCCATTTGATAAGGGAAGAGGGAAAAGGCGAGGGCGACAACAGTCGGGGCGGCGGTAATGAGACGTGTATGGCTGTACCGGAAAATACGCACAGTGAAAAAGTTTTTCTGCAGACAGAAATTTTGGGGCCAGCTAGCCCGGCCACAAACAGAGTTTGGGATGGGTTTAGATCCTCACTGGTGAGTGGGTGATGCCCACCTAAATCAGCCGGGGGGTTCAGGATGGAGTTACTCAAAGGTTGCAAGGGTGTGGGATCAATGAAGACGAGAGATTGAGATTGGTGCGGATCAATGAGGACCTGAGAGGAACGAGAAAGAAGTGTGAGAAAAAAAGGAACCAGAGTACCAAGCACCAGAATCTCCGCACTTCTTTTTTTTTTTCTTATCGGAGGGAACAGTGGCAGCACGCAGTACAGGGGACGAGAAAGGAAGGCATGCGATTATTGTTAGTTGTCAGAGCAGCTCGATAGGAACTTAGGTGAATGACCTGATACCCAGAATTAACAATTCAGGCCTGGTGCTGCCTGGGTCTAGAGGTGACGCTCCCCCAAAAATGCTACCTAGGCACCACCAACACCTCTCCAAGCTCCCTTGGGTATTATTGGGTCCCTAGGTATGTCGCAAAAATGATTCCAGGCGGCGCACGCCCTCCCATCATGGGCTCCGAGCGCCCAAACCAGGTGCCGGAGCTCGCCCACAAGGTTACTACCAGGTACCCATTATTCTTCACCTTTATGTACGAGAATCTCCAGTGACGTGGGCCATGCAGGGAACATGGCACCAGCCGTAGTTGGTTTATTTCTTCTTCTTCCTCCATTGCATATTCTTCCACCATTCATGCGCTGGGTTGAGAGTGTTTGCACTTTTTGACTCCGAGCCATTCAGCTGGGCAGCTGGTTATCTCAACTAGGTAATAGGCGAATCGCTGCCCCAGAATTACACATCCCCCATCTGTTGGGCAAAGAGATGTATGAGCATGAGTCAGGAACCAGAGCGACTCGTCTCTAATTGAGCAGCACGATTACCTGAGCTGATTGCAATCTCGCTCCCTGCTTGCTGGCGGAGATAGTGGGTTATCATTTGGATCCTACACAGATCCCCGGGGTAGAAGCTGCAGCTCTATTCATTCCCGTTGAGCTTGTACAGAGTAGGATGTGTGTAAACGCGTTCATCAGTTGTTTGTAGGCATGGAGTAATCCAAAAGCATACCGAGTGGAAAGTATGTACGTACTCGGTACGTAGGCTGAATGAGCCGGGGGAACAGCGGTTAGCAGTAGTACCGAGTACTCGTACTCCTCTCCATACTACTCGGGGCTAAAATACTCGTACCTACGAGTCCTCATCCATCCTGAGCAACGCAGACGGACTCATACAGTACTTACTCGTAGGTACGAAGGGACTGAGTGTGATGTTGTCTCACGTTCAATCATTATGATGACCCTCGCTTCCTCGCTGGTTGAGATCATCCACCATGAGGATTCTAAGCCCTTTCTTCTCACTCCCAACAATGGTCAGTCCGTTAATGCTGTTTAGCCTGATCGTCAGATTTGGCGAACCCTTGGGCAGCGCCAAATAATGATGATCGGGGGGATGATGGCATCTCGCAGGCAAAGTTCGCCATCTAGCATACCTCAAGCTCATCAACGATGCTGCCACTGCATGCACAAGAATCCTTCCCCAACCGTCCTTGGGAACCAACCTGGGGGATAACAACCGAAAACAGCAGTTGATTGTGGCTTGACCTCAAACTTGGTCCGGTGTCACCATGGTCGCTTACCATCTTCCAGTCAGTAGTAAGTTGCCCGGTTTCTCCCTGCCTGGCCTCCTCCCAGCGCAACCCATGAAGAAAAGAATGCCTCAGTCCGCGGAAAGATGGCCTGGTCCAGTTCAGTGGCCCTGGTGGCTCCTCGTGGAGTCGTGGCCCACGCTGACTTCATTACGTCGCATCCTTTCTTTTGGTCGTCACCGGTCCAGTAGGAAGCTGTGGCATTGGCCGGCTGCAGACTAGTGGACCCGCCTCCCAATCTAGCTTGCAACGGCTACGAGCTGCATCGATCTCGCCGTCGTTGTCATTTGAATTGATTTCCGGCCGTTCAAACGGTACCACCGCGTACCGCCAAATGTCAATCTGCCAAAGAAAACCCATTGAACATTTTTTTGGGCAGGGCATAACAAACATCGGCCCCAGTTCAATGGTTTTCTCCGACATGGGCACCCCCAGCTCGCGGCAGAACTTAATGACCCATGACGCTCACTCACCTCTTGTGCCTCTACCCTTCCCAGGGCGGTTCGGCGTTTTGTGCGGAAAGCCAACGCAGGGCCCTTCTACGTTATTGGGGTATCACCCTTCCGTCATCGAATTTTGCTCCTCGTGCTTCCTGTCGTCCCAAAGTAGCAGCCATGGTGTTCCATTCCACAGATATCCGGCCGTGCCTAACTCGGCGATTATTCATCGCTTTCACAGCAGTATTGGTCTACGCGTCGTGCCGCATCTGTTCAAGCGTTAGCATGTTTTGCTCAAACAAGAACAAGATCCAGATTCCAAAATAAGCCTGTTCGTTTTGCCCTGGGATGCTTGCTTCTTTTGCGAGATTCAAAACAAAGTCCAGGCCCACAGTTGTGATTGACGGTTTGGAGGCAATGAATTTCCACTCCGGGCGCCAGGCGAACGGACAAGCGCTGCAGCTGCAGAGCCAGTTTTGGCTCTAGTCGGGGCTCTAGATTGGATGCCGACACTCCTCCTATCACGGCCCATCAGGCTCTGCCCATGTGAACGGGACCGGCCAATCCACTGCACCCCCCCCCCAAAAATGATTGTCGACATATTTGGCCATGATTGTAAACATCTGCAAATGACCACAGAAATTGCACCCACTAGGGTCCTGCAAGTCACAACGTTCAACTTCTCAAACTCCCAAATAACGGAGCCTCCCCAATATCATTAGCTCGACCCTCTTCCAGCCCTGCTGCAAGCCTGCAACACGTCCTCTTGGCCGTCACGGTGATCACAGTTGACAAGGAACCATATCTGGCCTCGTTTGGTCTGTCTACAAATCGCGCCTGTCGGCTTGTCCCTGTCAGAGCCTCGGGGGCGCGTGTTTCAGTGGATACAACAGCGACCCAAATCGTCTGTCAAGATTTCCCTCACTCACTTCCACGGAGCATTACGAGGTACCGAGTACAGATGGAGCCCACTAGAACTACGAGTACCCATCAATAGCGCTGTGGGGGACAAAAGGCTGATCGTAACAAGTAGGTACAGAGAGCTCGGTGCACATTTTGCGCCGACGCGACAACATGGCCGTGCCGGGCACGACTGAGGCATTTTTGATCTCCTCTTGCACCTACGAGTACCCGGTACATACGAACACACTGGCAAAAAGTCGGCCATCTAAGGATGCGGATAATCAACAAATAATTGTGGTAGCTCGGCACCCACTGGGGGAAAATTGGGTGCTGTGGACGCTGCGTTTCAGAATTGTGATGGGTGTGACATCCGGCAAGGCTTCCGACCGCCACGGCCGTAGTCCCCGGTGTATCTGGCTAAGCGATCATATAGGCATCCTTGCCCCCGAACGCCCCCTACTGGGACTGACATCTTGAGGCATTTTCAAGAATCTGATGCAGGCCTTGGGTTGAATGAAAGGGTAGGATTCGCAATCCACGCTGTGACCTTGGTCAAATGCCTCAAAAACTGGAACGCAATGTTGGATATTTGTCTGCGCGTCGGTCTTGTCGTGAGACCTGAGACGGCTGCAAGCCCTGACCAAGACTCGAGGGTTTCTCAACTACCGGCGCAGGGCAGGGCGCGAGCATTTTCCCGCGGATCATAGCAGCAAAACGTCTCCGATTATTGCCAACCGCCGGTGTGCCAAATGCCACGGCCAACCAACCCTTCTCCTGCACCACCACCTTCGACTCCAAATCCCATTCCCTCGCCGCAATCTCAACCGCTTCTGCCAGCGGGCGTCTCCGGACATGCCCGCAGCCAGCAAGGAAAAAGGAAACTTTGTTTTCGCATCCTCACAATCGAGTTGATAAACACTTTGGAGGTATTTTGAACACTCATTTGGAGAAACAGTGCCAGGATTACTGGGGCTGGGGTAAGTCAAGCCGATGTTCTTGTCTAGGGAATGCGACGTGCATCACATCGATTGCTGGTCGCGACGATGCAATATCAAGATAATGGCAACTGCCGTCCTACCACCAATTACATGGCCAAAATGTCACCAGATCTACCTAGGTATCTAGTGCGCAATTATCGTTATCAAGAACTCTCTACCACAGAGAGATCGGCGCAGTTGATGGTGTTGGCGCAGTTGCCCTTCATCGACAGCTGCAATGACGTCGTAGACGTTGTAGGCATCGGCAAGCGAGCAGGGATATCGACAATGATGGCGTGAAATCTTCACACCACCACCTCGAGTTTAGCAGCAGCAATGCTTGCCACCGAGTTACTAGGAGAGGGTTTGAATGTGGTAAGATTTTCCACCCCGCATCTCAACAGCTTGTGCTCGACAACCCAAGCGGAGAAGACCCGACAAGACGATGATGCGCCTGACGGCACATGGAAACGGGTTGAACGGCCAGGAACTGCCAT